ATAATTAATAAATATTCAGAATACAGCATTTCATATCGAGGACCAATAGTACGAGTAAATACAAAAAGGTAAGTTCGTTTAGTTCATTTAAGTTAATAACAAAAAAAAGGAAATTTTTGAGAAAACTTTTGAAACATGAACAGCAAAAATCAACTTGGGTTAAAAAGTGACTTTTCATTGCAAACGTGGAATTAAATTTTTACGGAAAGACTGTAATAATTGTGAGTAGTAAAAATTTTTGTTTATTTTTAAAGAAAAATCTAAACTTCTTTCTGAAAGTGATTGTTGTATCGGTGCTTGCATCCCTAATATGACAATTATAATAAAGTCACTTAGTACTGAAAGTGAAGATGATGACATAATTAAAATGAAGTAAGCAATAAAATTTGCAATGGAAAGTTGTTTCCGGAGGATGGAACAAACTAAGCACTATTTCATTGCAACCTTATTCGAACTATTTTTAATTTAACAGAAACCATCTTATCACAACTGGATTATTTTCTGCAATATCTCAATGAATTCAAACACGTTTCCAATAAAATCTAATATTTCGGGTTTATTTAACTTGATGAAAAACATCATTGCGCAATCTCAATCAACAATAGTTCAAAGATCGAAATTTAGACTGATCAAAGAAGTGCTGAATAATTATCTGAATTTTCAATTATCCCCTGACTTTCTAAGCTTCTCGAACAATTACAAAAACAATTTGAATAGTCATGTCAAGCTGGTCTTTGCTAAATTTTCCAACACGTTTCTCACCCCAACACCAACATCAACTGATATGGAAAGGTTCTTTTCAATAGCTGGAGATATATTAAGCAATAAAAGAAACAGATTATTACTCAATAACTTCGAAAAACTTTTGCAGAGAAAATCTACCAATCGTTATCTTTCACTTTCGCTTTCGTTAACTTATGTAATAAAGCTCAACTTTGCGAAATCAAAATAAACAACAAATGTTAAATTGCATTTTTAGATTTTTTATATATCATATTTTCTAGTTAAATTAATTTTGTTTAATCGAAATTTTAGTATTGGTTTTGGTAAAATGTTTACCAAAATGTTGATTTTGGTTACGGTATTGAACTAGTTAACTCGAAATTTTCTTTATTTCAGTTTTGGCGTTTCGACCGAAGCGGGGGTCGATCAATATTGATCAATATTGCAATTGATGCAATATTGCAATATTGCAATATTGCAATAATTGCAATTCCATTAACAAAAATCTTTCATAAATCCTTTAATTCTGGAGTAGTACCCACTCAATGGAAATTAGCAAATATTAGTCCGATCTATAAAAAAAAGGGAGATAAATTACTTGCTGAAAACTATAGACCTATTTCACTAACATCTGTTGCCTGTAAAATCTTTGAAAAACTTGTAAAGAAAAAAATTTTAAAGCACATTAACGATAATAAAATGCTCTCTGCAAATCAACATGGCTTCCTTTATCATAAATCATGCGTAACTAACCTAATAGAAACTTTTGATATCATTTCGTCCTCCATAACATCTCACCAATTTATTGATGTAATCTATCTTGACTTTGCCAAAGCGTTTGACTCTGTACCTCACAACAGACTTTTGTTAAAATTAAGATCTTTCGGAATAAACGGCAAACTCCTACAATGGATTAAATCTTTTTTAGTGGGCAGAAAGCAACGCGTTACAATTAACAATACCAGCTCTGCATGGGTTGATGTTCTCAGTGGTGTTCCTCAAGGTTCTGTTCTCGGCCCGCTCCTCTTCATTCTCTACACAAATGATCTCGCAAAACTCACTGAAACTTCTGAGATATTTGCCGATGATACTAAACTTTTTTCTAAAACCTTATCGCAATCTAATTTTGTTGATCTGCAGGATCGTCTACGCTTGGTATACGAGTGGTCAAACACTTGGTTACTTAAGCTAAACACTTCAAAATGCTGCGTCATTCATTACGGTCGAAACAACCCCCGTTACAATTACTTTCTTCAAAATAACCAAGGAATCAACCAATCTCTAAGAAGCTCTACTAAAGAACGTGATTTAGGAGTCATTTTTACATCTAACCTCAAGTGGAGCGCTCATATTCAAACAGTTGTCTCTAAGTCCTTACAAATTCTCGGTATGCTGAAAAAGACATTCACTTTCATTGATGAAAAAATGGCTCTCAAATTATATAAAGTATTTATAAGACCACATCTTGAATATGGAGTGTCCATTTGGGCTCCTTTTTTAAAAGCTGATATGGCTTTGGTTGAATCTGTTCAACGCAAAGCTACAAAATGGGCTTACAGCTTGAGGCATCTTCAATACTGCGAAAGGCTAAAAAGATTAAACCTACCATCACTTGAGTTTCGACGCCTTCGATGCGATTTAATCCAAATTTTTAAATTAATACATCGTTTTGATATAGTTAATGATAAATATCTACCAAAATATATTAACTCCGTGTCTCGTGGTCACCATTCTAAAATAAGGCGTGAGTATGTTCTAAACTGTCTTCCAAGATATAATCATTTGTATAATAGATCAGCAAAATACTGGAACAATCTACCAGAGCAAATAACTTTGTACTCCACTGTACTTTCTTTCAAAAATAGACTAGACTCCTGGTTGTGGAAAAAGTTTGGAACAAATATTTATAAAACTGGTTGTTTATAGTGGGGTGTTTCCCCTGCTCGCTGTATGTGTACATTCTATGTAAATTTACGGCTACAACTATAATAATAATAATAATATTACTTTGATATTGAGTTTGTTCGAATAGCAAGATTTAATTTGTTTATAATAAAGTTAAAAAAGTAAAAAAATCAAATAAAAGTTAAAAAATATATAAACCAAACAAAAATTAAATAAATAATCAAACAAAAAATTAAATATATGTTAGCTAATTTTTTGTTTGACTGTTTATTTTTTGAAAATTAGTAAAAATGTGTGTAGCAATTCATGTTTTTTCTATTTTCAGAAAGATAAATAATAAGCTCAGATGAGGTAGCCAACAAGACCATTTCCGAGTACAAACTTAAGCACAAGTTGTTTTTTGTAAATTCGATGTAGTATAATAGTCACTAAACTCGGGAGCTACGCTTTAGTTACCTGGTGTGACAACCAAAGTGTAGAACCAATAGTGGAAGTTAAGCATCACTAAACGAAGCGATATTCGCCATAGCAGCCCCAACCACTCCGAAGAATGCAATTTTTGTACACTTGTCAAGCATTCATCCAATTAGTTCAATGAGATATAAGAAATCTATTTCATCATGAGTTTTGCCTGATGACTTTAACCCCAATGAGAAATGGACCAAAATTTCTAAGGTCCTTAATTTCAAAGCCGTTTTGATATTTTTACTAGAGGAGTGCTATTGCAACATATTTAAGACCAATGACAACGCTTCGGTAGATGACGTCAGCTGATTGCTTTTTATAACTTTCAGTTTGGGATGATAACTAATGAAATTTTCAAATCGAAATTTTTAACATTTTTATTTAATGAAGCTAAATACTCCCACTGAAAGTTTGCTAATTGAATTTCAACTTTCGTTAAAATGAAATAACTTAGCAACATAAATATATTGATCTGGCGTTATCGCGCAGCCCGGCTTAAAGAAATCAATCTCGTGAAACCACTTTTCTGTCGCAATAAAATCGCAAATTGTGTGACACCTTTGTTATTGTTATTTTGCTCTATATCAGCAATCTTTGCAAGTCTTGCGTTGTTAAAATTGGCAAAGGAGGAAGACTAATGTTTATTTCTGAGTTATATTAAAATCTAAAGTACAATTGTTTAAATGCTTTGCCTGTATAATTGTCAACAAGACAACCATTCTTATCTATCCTACATTATCAAGGAATCGGTCGTATTAGGATAGTGACACCCCCAATTGGGGTAAAAGGAAGGGCAGCGAATTTAGGGGCCCATTTTCAAATCTTTAATAGGGAAGTACCTTAAAAAGGATTTAATCTACTTGGAAAAAGAAATGTATCCATAAAAGAAGATATACTTTAAATATTTTTAAAAAATTAGAGTTTCATTTTGAAATAATAAAATGCTACTAATTTGAGGGAGACTGAATAAGCGCAAATCGGCAAAAAGTGTCAAGCACTTGCAAAAACTGGTACAAGTACGAACTGGCATAAGTGCACCGAACAAATTTGCAAACATCGGCATAAGTTCGAACTGGTATAAGTTCGAAGCAGTTACAAAAACTGGCACAAGTGCGAATTGGCGTAAATTCGAATTGGCATAAGTGCGCAAAAAGAATTTGCAAACAGTGGCATAAGTGCGAAGCAATTACAAAAACTGGCATAAGTGCATCGAATAAAATTGCAAATATTGGCTTAAGTGCAAATTGGTATTTCGCACATATGCCAATGTTTCTAAATTTTTTCGGTACACTTATGCCGGTTTGCACTTATGCCACTTTCTGTAACTGTTTTGCACTTGTGCCAGTGCTTGCGAATTTCTTCGGCGCACTTATGCCGATTCGTACTTACGAAATTCGCGTTTATTTAGTCGTCCCCTTTTTTGCAAATATGAAATATTTGCAAAAAAGGGGACGACTAAAAAACCTTGAAATATTTTGGTTTTTTATATGAAAAAATAAACAGCTTTGACGAGTGTAAAATATACTAAAATTTCATAAAATTCTCGTGCTTGCGACTGTTTTTTGCTGTTGTGATCGATTTTTTGCAATGCATACTTTTACATAAAACTTTTTTTTGTAGTTTTGACTAGGTTTATTTGACTTAAAAGCATTTAATGAAAAAGTTTCCACCGCTTTCCTCTACTAGACACTTTTGGGTTAGATTAGCAAATTGTGGATCTTTCAATTCAAAATCAGCAATATATTCTTAATTATAACTAATTTTTATTACGAGATTTGATGATGCCATACTTATTATTCAAATAATCGATCAGGAAATTTGTATATACTTAAACTCAAAAAGGTCGTCACAAACCCGTTAATAAACCAAAAAAAAAAATATTGCGAAAAAAAAATTCATAAAGAGCGTTTAAAAACGTCGTTTATTTATAATTTGATTTTTAGAATTATTTTTTAAATTTTTTTACTTACAGTTTAGTTTTTACAAATGCAAAATTTAAGTGAAGTTTTTTACCAGAAAGTGTTCATTAAAAAGAACTACCAGAAACCCATCACAAATCTTTTTTCTTAAGAATCACCTCCACCACCTTTAAGTCTTCTAATCATTGACTTTCATGATCATGTAACCACGCGGAATCTTGCGGCCGCGAGTGATCTTGAGACCGCGAGTCCTGCAGTCATGAACAAATATAAATTAACAAAAAAACCTTTTTTCTCAATGTAATATAATTTTTCGGATTTTTTTGAAAACACAAAAAAAAAAAAGAAAAAAAAAAAATACGGTTTAAGAAAATTAAAGGGGCTGTCCATTAATTACGTCAACAAAATAGGGAAGAGGGAGTCTGAACTTTTTTGACAACTCTTGAAAAGGGGGAGGGGGAGGTCAACACTTAACGTCAAAGTTAACGTCAACACTTTACTTTTTTTTATAAATTTAATTATTTTAAAAAAAGAAAATTAGGCAGCATTTGCAGTCCTGTGTTACATACTTGCTCAACCTTCAGTATTTTAATAAAGCTATTTACATACAGAACTAAATAACTACACACATGAAGTTTACTCGTGACACTATTATTTTTTCAAAGTTGTTGTTGTCTCAGTCTGCTGTGCAAGCAAAAAAGATTCATGCAAGTAAATAGTCTACATTATATGTTTTTTTTTTAATTTGTTTTTTCTACTTTGGAAAGATTGGGGAGAAGGTAAATGACTTTTGACTTAATTTCATAGGGGGTTTCTGGAAGTTTGACAAGTTGTTGACAGGGTGGAGAGGGTAGGAAAAAATCGCTAAAAAAAGTTGACGTAAATTATGGGAAGCCCCCAACCACACAAACAAAGATTACCTCTTGCAATAGAGCGGAGTTTTTCGCCATCGTTGCTGTAAAATATAAATATTACAAAAAAAAAAAAAAAAAAAAGAAACAAAACATTATATATTCAATATAAGAATTAAATCAAAATTGTAAAAAAAATAATCTAGAGACGTATACAAACTTTTTAAAATTTAAAAACCTTTCAGTTTTGGAATACAGATTACAGATTAAGTCTTCACCAAGACAAAATCGACATTTTTTTAAGCGATGTCAAATTTAAACTGGAAGAACTATGTTTAAGGGATCAACTACTTTTAATGTTCTAGTCGAGGGAGAGGGTGTAATAAATTTAACATGTTTTCACATAAACCCTAAGAGGAGAGAATGGGTCTTCTTTAAATTGAAAATATAAAATATCTAAACAATTGGAAAGAGTGCATCAGGAGCCCAAGTGTTTAGAGCTAAGTTTATTAGGTGATAACAGTATTTGAGAGGTTAATAAAGATTCAAATATAAAACATATATACACAGCAATCTTGAAGGGGGATCAGTTAAAGATGGAATTAAAAGACATAAATATACTTCAGAAAGAAGTATCATTAGAAGTATATTATTATTATTTTTTTTTTTAGTACTTATATTAGCTTAAAACAAAAATATTATATATAAAAAGACCAAACAGTCCATTCAACTCTTTATTTTTATTGAGTGATAAGATGAAACTTATTTGAAAAATTGAAAAAAAGTTATAAAGATAAAAAATTGAAAAAAAGTTATAAAGATAAAAAAAGTTATAAAGATAAAAGTCATAAAGATAAAACTTATTTAAAAAATTAAAAAATTAAATAAAGTTTACTCATAAATATGTATTTAATTCAATAAATATTTTTTATAATAAAAACAATAATTAAATAAAGTTATTAATATTTATTTATTTTATTTATTATATTTATGAATTTGCATTACTATATATATATATATATTATTATAGATTATTTTTAAAGCACATTTAAGGTACCAGAAACTTTTTTGACCTTAAAAATCTAAAGCATTTTTTAGCTTTAGCTAAATGATTCAAACAGGTTTAGTTAGTAAGCATTACAGAATTTAATAAAAACCATATTAAACATGTTATCCATTTTAGTTAAGTCCATATTAATTTAAACAAGTTCCACATAATACTAAGCCAACATCATAAAAAGCATGCTTTAATAAATCATGCATAAACGAAAAAGCACAATTACTAAAGCTAAAATTATACAAATAAGTCTACATTAATATATAAAACAATACTTATTAAATGAAACAATACTTGTTATATGAGACACAATACTTGTTATATGAAACAATATACTTGTTATATGAGACAAAATACTTGCTATATGAAACCAAATACTTGTTTATGAAACTAAATACTTGTTATATGAGACACAATACTTGTTATATGAAACAAAATACCATATAAATAACAAATATCATATTTGTTATTTTAATTCACAAATTATAAATAAACTTATAAACTAAAAATATATTATTCATATTTTTCTTATATGTGTAAAAAAGTTGAATTCAGTGATGTTAAAAGAAATAAAGAAATTCAAAGAACTGTGCAAAAAAAAAAAAAAATTAATTCAAAAATATGTGTAAATGAATAAATTGATGTAAACCAATTAAAAATTCTATAAAAATGTGATTACCAATTTGTTTCTTAGCTAAGTCTAGGTTATGTTCTAATATTTTCTCAGTGGTTTCACGATCAAACTGCTCTGCCATGAGACGATCTTTCAACAACATTATCTGAAAAATAGCAAAACAGTATCAATAGAAATTTAGTAAATACTTGTAACCAAACAGAAAAATACTTGTAACCAAACAGAAAAATACTTGTAACCAAACAGAAAAATACTTGTAACCAAACAGAAAAATACTTGTAACCAAACAGAAAAATATTTTTTTGCCAAATATTACTTCACTCTTTAAATGCTCCTCATTTCCAGTAAGATCTCCATGAGAACCACACTGTATTAAAAAAAATAATAATATGCCTCATTTTCAATAAAATTTTCCATTGGAACTACACTATATAAAAAAAGCCTCATTTTCAATAAGATCTCCATGAGAACTACAGTATATAAAATATATATATAAGAGAAAAAAAAAAGCATAAGAGAGAAGCATAATAACTGAGAAAAACATTTTAACAAAAATTTAAAAAGAAATATTTACTTTATTACTTTCATCATGCTCTTTTAGAGATGTCATCTAAAATATTTAAATAGTATTCAAAACAATAACATATAAATATAAAAAAATTATAAAGTTCTATACATGAAAAACTTTAGAAGATTTAATATATTGAAAGAGTAAAGACTTAATAGATTGTTACTAATGCTTTACAATCTTTCTAAGTTTTACGTTTATAAAGAGTTACATGAATAAGAATGAGAAAATCAAACACGTAGTAAATTCATTCTTTATCATTTTTCTATTTACAAGAGAAAATTTACAAAAATTTTATTAAAACTATTTACATTGGAATATTGCTTGGGGTGCTATTCACTATTAAAACTAAATATAGATTAAATCAAGGACTTAGTGCCAGCACAGCTTCTGTAGACTTTTCAACATTTTGAGAAAAAGCAGTTTGAAATCTTAAATTAAACATCAAAAATCTAATCTTGTCACAGAATTTCATGTTTTTTCACATAATACTATTATGTAACATGAAAATTCGTGACAAATGAGATTTTTGATGTATGATTTTAGATTTCAAACCGCTTTTTCTCAAAATTTTGAAAAGTCTACAGAAGCTGTGCTGGCTCCAAGCCCTCTAAATCATCAATGATTGTACTATTGCAGATTACCTAACTTTGCCTTAGCCCAAACAATAAACAAGTTAAAAAGATTCTGGAAGTTGATTTTTGTAACTATAAGAATCTTTTTAACTTGTTTATTGTATGGTGTAATTTGAAAAACTTTTTTTTTTTAATTACACCATACAATTTAATCCTGTTTAAGTTAATTTTGAATTCATTTTGAAGAAAACTAAAACTTTTTATTAGATTTTAAAATCTTTTATCAGAATTTGTTGTTATAAATCTCAGAATTAAAGTATTTTAAATTTTAAAAATTTTTACAAAAAATTACTTTAATTTTAGATGTAATTTATGCATGCGTATGTAACTTCATTTTAATTTTGTGTGTAATTTCATTTTAGTTTAGTAATTTCAATTTAATTTCAAATATCAGTCCTATGTTTATGCTGTGACTCACACTAGTAAGTATGGTTTTATGGCAGCTAATTCTTGTGATGGTTTGACTCCCATTGATCAAGTCTTGCTTTTAATGAATTTACTGAAATAGCTTTGAAAACATTTTCTGGCAGTGTATTCCAATAACTTGCGGCTCAATTTAGTAGAAAAATTTTCTTAATATTACGTACCCAAAGTTCTTTAAAATATTTTACGCAGACATGAAGACAATTCAATTTAAATGAATATTTTTCTTTAAATTATACAATTGTATTTTGTCACCTTGTTGTCTTTTTTTAAAAAGTGAAGACATTCTATGAAAAGCAAGTCGATCTTCATACCATAACTTACTGATTGAAAGTAACAATTTAGTGGCATGATGCTGTACTCTTTCTAAAATAACATTAAGGAACCCATACTGGTAAATCAAACTCAAGAAATGGTTGAAGAAAGAGAAAGAGTCATCCATCAAATTAAACAAAAGATTACTTTAACGAGCCCAACTTGCGATTTTCTTTGCTTGCTCAATACTTATTTTTCCACTTCAAGTTATCTGAAGAAATCACTTTTAGGTCTGAATTTGGTTGGTCACTTTTAGGTCTGAATTTGGTTGGTCACTTTTAGGTCTGAATTTGGTTGGTCACTTTTAGGTCTGAATTTGGTTGGTCACTTTTAGGTCTGAATTTGGAGTTTATTTGGATACCTCTTATTTTGTATTAAACGCTGTCACAAAATCAAAAAAAAGTAATACGAAAGCAACAGGAATCCTTTGATCAACATTTCTTGTAATATAATCCAGAGTTTTGTCTTACCTGACTTGATACAACAAAATTTTGTCATATATGTTGTATATGACCATTGTCGTTTACAACCGTGGTATATGATATATTAAGTCGTATACGATGATGGTTATTATCTTTAATAGATATCTTCAGGATTTAAATTAAAGGAGGTATCATTGATTCTTGTTTTAAAAAAAGGAATGTGATTTTTATTTTCTTAGACAAAAATGTTTTGAAAATTTATATTCAGTAGATCAGCAATTATTTACTGGATCTTGAGTTATTTCACCACAGGTTGTTGCAGAGTTTTTATAGTTATAATCTTTTATATATTGTTGTGAATTTATATATCTATATAATATTTTTGGGTTCTTTTTAGCTTTATCTACAACCATTAATTTTATACATCTGTCTTGCGATGGAAATTTTAAAGGAAATTCTTTTTGATAATTTTTTTATATTGGCTACCAAAATTTGAACTTTTTTATATACTCAAACAAATTCTGTACCTTAAATTCTCACACAATTTTGACAAAATTTGACCCCATCCTTTCTTATGACAACATTGTAACTTTTTATTTAAAAGTCCTTTACAAGTGGTCACAAAACTTTTTACCACTTTGTCCCCCCTCCCTTCTCTAGAACATAATGTAATTTATGGACAGCCACAGAATTTTTGATGAAGAATTAACACATGATGTGCGTATATATGTATGTGTATATATGTATATATGTGTGTGTATATATATATATATATATATATATATATATATATATATATATATATATATATATATATATATATATATATATATATATAACAGTTATATATTTAAGTTTATGTATTTATGTATTATAAATTAACTTGTCATACATTTCTTGAACATTTTTTGTATGAAAAAACTGGAGCCAATTAACAATTGTAAAAAAACATTGAATTCTATTATAATCAGCCTTTCTATGCAAAAATTTATTTTTACCATGTATTTACATTTTTTTTTATTTTCAAGAATAAAATCTAAACACAATATCAAATGACCTCTAAATATGTTTTTTAAAACAAACTTACTGATAATGGCACTTTTTTTATTTTTATTTATTTTATTTATACTTATATTTGATGACTGAGTGGTGAATATTGTAATATTGAATATTGAACTGAAAATGATTACAGCAGATTCATTTGTTTATTGAGCTATCTTCTATTGAACATATCCCCGGAAAAATAAAATCTATGATCAGATCTTTGAAACCTTTTTGGTCAACATATTATCTTGTAATTTCAAGAAAACTTTTAAATATCTGCTATATTTACTAAATCATAACATTTCTAAATACATCTAATAAGATATTTATCATTTCTAAATACATCTAATAAGATATTTATGATTGCCATAAGAAAGGAGGGGGTCAAATTTTGTCAAAATTGTGTGAGAATTCAAGGTACAGAATTTGTTTGAGTATATAGAAAAGTTCAAATTTTGGTAGCCAATATAAAAAAATTATCAAAAAGAATGCCCAAAAATGCTCTATTTAACTCTATTTAATGCATTATTGATAAGTATATAATAAATAAATAATAAAATTATTAATATAATAATTTAGCTGTAAATATAAAATATAGACCTCCTCCTAGACAACTATTGCACCTCTCTTTATTATATAAATAATAACCATCTAAATTGCAGAAAGAAGCAGCTAACTAATTAATTGCAGAGAGAAGCAGCAAATTAATTAATTATAGAGAGCAGCATCTAATTAATTAATTGCAAGAAGAGCTAATTAATTTAAAATTATAAGTTGAAACTACTAGTTTTACTAGTTGTCAATAGACATGGTGTTAGGGTAAACAACTTTGGTTAGTTTCATTTAAAATTTTTGTATCTGATTTCCACAGATAACATTCCAAAAGGAGTTTGCCTCCTGAAGGTCATATCTTAGTTTATTTCGCTTTGTTCTGAGAATCAGTATCTGTTAAATCTGGAGATATATATATATATTTTTTAAACTTGGAAGCAATTTTTTCGTTAATAAAATTAGTATTTTATTTTGTTGATAAAAATCAGCTAAGTAACAATAAGCCTGGTTTGTAAAAAAAAAATTTTTTTTTTTAATTTATTTATAATTATTATATCAATAAAAATTGATAAGAAATCTTATTCATTTATAATTTCATTTATATTTCATTTATAAATTCAACTTTAGACAAAAACCTTTATAGTTTTTTTTTTCAAAATGTTAATTATTTAATTAATTTAAAAAAAAAAAAATTTTACTTTAAAACTAAATTTTTAGTAAAATTTTTTAGTTAAATCTTAAAACCTTATCAAAAAAATAATTTTTCCCCTTAATTAAAATGGTATCGAAATTATATATCGATATTTTCATATATATAAGATGATATCAAAAATATAAAAAGTTTATTAACTTATCAATTTTACAATAACTTAATCTAAAAATAATTAAAATTAAAAATAATAATACTTCTGCTAAGCAACGATCTCTCTCTTCAGCCAAGTTTTTCTAAGAAAAAAAAAATCTTAAAAAAGGAAATTAATTATCTATGCAATATTGAAAAAATTTTCTTTAAAAATGAGACATTATATAATAAATACAAATATTAAAAACAGACCTAGAGAAGACCCTGATAGACAAAAAAAACCTAAAACATACCATTTCAATAATAATATCATTTTGAAACTGATAAAACTGAGTAAAAAGAAGCTGAACTTGTTTGTCTACTTCCGCCTGATTCGTTTTGTATATACTGATCTAAACACGTTAAAAATCTTAAGATAAAATTTTGTAAATATATAATAAAACATTAGGCACCGGTACCCTGAAGGTGACCTAAAACCTTATATCAAGTCCCAGGAAATTTTTTTTTGATTTTGAATGTAATACATTTGTACATTCTGAAACTATCAAAATTTAAATCATTGGTTGGCTTTTTGAGAAAACTTGTTAAGAAGTTTTATAAATAACGATATTTTTGTATTAAAATAATATTTTTCCGTCAGCCGTTATAGTTGTTTACTTTCTGTAATTGCAGCGCAATTGGTTATAATAATATTAATTTGTTTCCGATTGGCTTATAGTTGTTGTTGTTTTAAAGGACTAACAAAAATATAGGAACTATTTTTAAGAATAGAAAAGAAGTCACACTTTGCTAAATACCATATCACAAGTTTTTAAAATGCTTTACATATGCTGTATAAATAAAAGTAAAGATTTATGATGGGTTCAAACCAAATGCAATAAACCAGGTCCAAAAACAAGGAAAAAATTATAAAAATCTTAAAAAGTGATTTTTTTTGAGAAAATGTACTCTGTTGAAAACCCTTATCTGACTAATATATTATGTTCTAATTGCAGAAAAAATCTAGCGCGTTTAAAAAAACAGATTTTTATTCAACGCTCAACCTAAGTACAAAAGAAAGTTTTATAAAAAAAAAGCCAATAAAAACTAATTATGTTTTGTATTATTATTGTTGTGCTTATAAACAATATTGTGTTTACACTAAAAAAATAACTTCTTATTACTTTTAGACTTTAATACTAGAATTGTTCTAGGTGGGAAATGTGAGTGTTTTATTTGTGTTAATGGGCGTAAAAATGGTACTGAAATAGCAATTCTTCCACCAATGGTATCATGTGAAACTAATACAGATATAGATTATAATCACTAATTTGAATTTTTTCGCAATCAATCAAAATCTTGCTCTTAGCAGAAGTTGTTTTCAACAAATAAGAAAAAGAACATCCTTGCACAAAGTTAGTAAAGCAAACGAATTTGACGCATATTGTACAATCTACCTCACCTACAACAAAAAGAAAAGTTTTATCAACCATAATAAACAATTTAGTAACCCATGACGCAAAAATAATATTGAACAGTTTTGGCCCTAAGAAGCTTGTTGTTTCTATTGAAACCAAAAAGATAGTTGAACCAAAAACTTACTTTTCATACTCAAAACTAAAACAACTACAGAGCAAACTTCATACAGGGTATAGATTGTCTACTACAAAATTTAAAAAATGTAAATAATTAAAAAAAAAAAACATTTATTTTTTTTAACATTTGTATCAAATTTACTAGTGACAAATTGTAGTGGTATAAATATATATATATATATATATATATATATATATATATATATATATATATATATATATATATATATATATATATATATACATTTTTTTTTTTTTTTTAATTTGCATTCACTCCCAACAAGGCTGCAAGCAACCAATATAAGGTTGGGAGTTACAAAGAAAAAAAAGAACAGAGTTATAGAGCAAGGAAACAGTTGACAGAAGACTTGAAAAGTTGAAGGTTGTATGAGTCAGGAAAACATGAAGATGGGAGAGAGTTCCAAAGGATTGAAGTGCGGGGAAAAAAACTAGATAAATAAAAGTTTTTAGAGCATGCAGGGACAGATACAGTAAACAAATGAGACTTAGCTGAATGACAAGTAAAAGGAGAATGAATTTTTGTTGATGGAACTAGAGATGATAACTCCTTTGAGCAGTGACCATGATAGTATTTGTAGAAAAGAGAAAGAGATGCAACTTTACGATGATGGGAAAGAGGCTCAAGCTTAGCAGATAGTCCAGGTCCAACAACATTTACAATGCGTTTTTGGACCTTGTCAAGAAGAGAAAGTGAATCGTTAGAAGAACCAGCCCAAATATGACAACAGTGTTCCATACAGGGACGAATAAGAGATTTGTAGAGGTAGAGAATGGAATCAGAAGTAAGGAAATGGCGAGCACGATAAAGAGAAGCAACCTTAGCAGAAGCTAATTTAGCAACCGATTGTATATATGGTTTCCATGAAAGGTCAGTAGTAAGCGATAATCCAAGAAGACGTAAAGAGGACGACTCAGTAAGAGGATTGCCATTCATTAATATAGGAATGTTGACCATATTACGGTAGTTGTTTGCAGTAAGCAATTGGGTTTTTTTAGAGTTGAAATTCACAAGCCACTGTGAACCCCAATCTATTACTGAAGTGAGATAAGATTCAAGATCAGCTGCTTGTTCTAGGCGATCGAAAAGAGAAGACTTTTTGTCAAGACAGGAGTATAAAGTTGAGTCATCAGCAAAAAGAGCTACTTTAGATGAAAGTTTTGGAGAACAATTCTGCAAAACTGTGACAGGAATGTTGTCTGGAACACAAGCTGTAGACGAGTTTAATTGAGATATGACTTTAGCAACAGAAGCCAGAGTGATTTGAATGTCTAACAATTGGTCAACCTGTTTGGAATAGAAGGAATAGAATAACCTGGAATAGAAGGAAGAGAATGTCCATAAGATTCAAATTAGAAGAAAAGTTCTTTGCAAATAGTTCTGCCTTATCCTTGGGAGAGGTAATAAAATCAGTCCCATGAATGAGAGATGGAATGTTAGATCTACCCTTGTTAACAATGCTGTTGAAGATTTTCCAAAAGTCTTTAGAGCCTAACTTCTGTTTTAAGATGCGAGATTTAGTGAACTGAGAATAATGGAGTTTAGCATCAGAAAGCACCTTTTTACATTGATTTCTTGCAATAATAAATAGACATTTGTTCTCAAGAGAGTTGTTCTTTTGATAAAGATGAAAAAAATGATTACAATTGGATATAGCAGCCGCACAAGAAGGAGAAAACCATGGAGTAGAATAAGGCTTGACTTGAAACCGATGAGAAGGAATAAAAGCTTCCATTCCAGCCTGAATCCAGGAGGTTAAGTAGGAGGCGCATTTATCAGCTGAGAGAGAAAAGACATAAGCCCAAGGACCATCACGAAGAAATTCACAAAAAGAATCCCAGTCAGCTTTAGGGTAGTAGTAGGTGGTGCAATGATAAGGTGAGCCCAAAAAAGAAGTACGAGAAGAAAGATTTATAGAGATCATTGCATGGTCAGAACCACCTAAGGGAGAAAATCAACACTGACATCTGAAGAAGGAATTGCAGAATTTAAATTTGTTTCACTGAGTGCAAGCAAGTCTGGAAAATTTTGCAGGAGGTAAGACTCAACTGACGGAAAGTTGCTTCGCAGACCGCGAATATTTGTAAAAGATATATTAAAACATTTAGGTGGTGGGGATGGTTTTTTAGGTTTAATATATATACATATATATATATATATATATATATATATATATATATATATATATATATATATATATATATATACATATATTTAGTATAGAATAACTAATAGAGTCGACAAGTTGTTTGCAATTTGTATAGTTAAAGGGATCCCAAACTCCCGACACATGTTGTGTTCATATTAAAGATAATGTTAAAAAAAAAGGTTTGAACCAAGTTTTTTTGATTAAAAATAAATAATGAATGCATACCGAGAAAAACTAACGTTGTTGTTTTAGCCAAAGCTCGCCTTCTCTATTTTTTTCAATAACTCGGAGTCTTTAAATTATACGTCGCAATCTACAGACTTTGGTGATTCCGTTGAAGCGCGTTTAATTTATAAAAGTTTAAGTATTTGACGTCACGGTAGACTTTTAACAAATGAAAATGAGTTTGGGATCCCTTTAAAATATAATCCTTAAGTACTAAAAAAAAAATTCAGTGACTGCTATGCAAAAAAATAAACAATTGTATTTTGTGACCAAAAAAAGTCAACCTTAAACTCAAACTTTATCTTTTTTATACAATGTAGTTTGCACTAGAAATTTTAATTTTTCTTATAAACATCTAAAATAAAAACAAACAAACAAAAGTGGTTTATATTCATGACATAATTAAACTTTTGGGAGAGCCATAAATTGCTCCTGTAAACCACTTTAGGGAAGTAATAGCCCATCTATTACCCACATAGTGGGAGAGACTAAAACTCCCCTAAAATGAGTAAACTGTAAATCATAAGGGAAGTCTTCTTATTAAGATGGAACACTTTTAAGTTTAGATCTTCCTAAAAACTTCAAAAAGCTTTGTGAAAATATCTTGTTAAAAAATATTTTCTAAACAAATTACTTGTGATAACTGTTAACACTCAGGTGAATAAAAATATTTAAAAGAATCTCAGCCCCCTTTCTATGTTGGCTTTATAATTATATATTCATTTTGGTATTACACAAATAATTTTATAAAAAAAAACTTTTTAGATTTAAAAAAAAAAAAAAGAAATTAGAGGCAATATTCAGAATTTCAGTAAAATGTTGAACAGAAACAAACAAGGCCAGTAAATAATATGGAAAAAAAAAAGGTAGAAATTTTTAACACATCAAACAAGAAGTATAATGTGAACATGGTTGGTAATATATTAACATAAACATGGTTGGTAATATATTAACATGAACATGGTTGGTAATATATTAACATGAACATGGTTGGTAATATATTAACACGAACATAGTTGGTAATATATTTTAGCATAACAAGTTTATTATTATATTCTGTAGTTTATTTCAAAAAAAAAAACAAAACAAAAAAAAAGCCAAGCAATTAAAATTAACATAATTACCTGGGAACTCGTATCTGCTGCAGCAATTTCTGTACTTTTCTTTAAACTATTAAATTTTTCGCGTTCTGATTCTAATTCTGTCTATAATTAAAATTTTAATCACAGTTATATTTTAGATGAAATTTAATAGCAAGATGTTACAACCATAACATAAAGTCCCAGACATCAAACTTTAGAGTCAATAAATCCCTACTATAATAAGACCTTAGAAATACCTCATTACACCCTAACACCACTACACACCTCTTAGTACCATACTCAACTGAATTCACTGCACAGCAGCCTTATTTATCAAGGCTGAAAATTCTGAAATACAAGAAATTCAATTGAAATTAGTCTGTAATTAGAATTAATGAAAAATAAATAAATATAATGTCATACCATATTATTAATGACAGCGCACTTTTTTAATAGATGTTTTTAAGGAAAAAAAGTTTAGTTAGATTTTTGTCTCCAGTGATATCATAAACTGGAATGTTGTTATCAACTTTGAGTAAATTGAATAAAAGTGAACTCGTCGAAAGTTGAAATTAGTCAACTTTGAAAATCGAATAGTTTAATAAAATTCAATCGACTATGGGCCTGTTACTAATCGACTAAAAGTTGATTTAGTTGAGTAAAAATTATAAAATTCTTATATCTTTTCATTCAATTTAACTTTTCAATCTTTAGTTTTTGTTTGTTTATTTAATAACAATATTGTGTACTATTTTAATTTAGTGTATTATTTTAACTTGGGGTACTACTTTAACTGGAGATCTAAATGTCATCTATACAATCACATTGTTAATACAATTGTAATGACTTTTTGATATACAGCCACTGCATCACAAAATGACTTTTAATTCAAATCTCTTTTCCTTAATCTTCTACAAACTTTATTCTAAATTTGTTGTTTTTCTGTATATGTTAATGAGAAAAAAAAAAAAATTTTTTATCACAATAAGCAATTCTTTTTTCAGGACACACTTTTTAAATTTTGTGAAATACATTTTTGTGTACACTATAATCATACCTTGCTAGAAAAACTTTATTTAGGAGTGTACACTTTTTTGAAACATAAACATTGTCTTGGGGAAGTGTGTATTATATACCTAAAACCGAAATCCAGAAGCATAAACAAAATTAAAAAAACTACAAAAATTTGTTTAAAAAACTCAAAAATGTTAAAAAAAAACTATTTTAAATTGCTTAGGCAGCACAAGCATAACTTAAAACAGTAGAAAAAAGGAAAACCTTTGTGAATAAGATAGTACAAGTGTATAAGAACACATTTAGAGTTGGTTTTGAAATCTTTAATGATCGTCTGTAAAAGAAAAATTTTTGATTTTATTGCTCTGAACAAATGAGTTAAATTTTCTATTTTGACATTTTGAAACTTGTTTTAACATATTCTATAAATGAACATTTTGAAACTTGTTCAAACATATCTATAAATAAGCAGTGTACTTAAAACTTAGTTTAGTCAAAAAACATTTTGAAACTTGTTCTAACATATTCTATAAATAGTGGTACTTACAACTTAGAATCAATAACAAACAAAAAATTAACAACTAAAAAAAAAGAATTACTCTTATTAAATAACAATAACAACTAAAACAAAAGCAATAACAAATAATCTGTCAAAATTTGCAAAACTAAAAAAAAAGAATTACTCTTATTAATTGATGCTCTTAAAAATTGATGGTTAGAAATTGTAATTTCTTACATATCATATGCTATAATACAATATTTTCTAAAAAGAAGTTAAAAGGAATGCTTGCTGTTTTAATCTATCAAACGATATAGAAGATTCTTAGGGTAGCCCGGATGAACACCGGGCCTTTTTAACCATTGTCAGTGATGGTTGAAGACATTATGGAGTGATTCTGTTGCTTGCTCTGAATAGATGCCTAGTGGTTGTGGCCATCAATAAACTGTATCACATGAAAAAAAACTGCATGTGCTTTGGGAGTGACACCTGTGTTTAGAAGCTTAATGTAGGAATCTTTGAATTTTTCAATGATGATGATATAGTTGTCTTAAAAAATATTTCCAAAGGAAGCATGAACAACTGCATCAAGCATTCTGAATGTATAAATGAATGGAAATGCTAAAAAGCAAGTATGCTTTTTGGCAAGTTATTGAAGCAAGTCAACATTTTGTAAAAGCTTTCTGCACTCATTGCCTGCAAATTGCTCTCTAAAGTTTGTTGTTGAATGTTCATCAATTTTGGACACTTTAATGCATTTTTCAACAACAGACGCAGACTCTTGAAGAGGTGGTTAACAAAACAAAGAAGCAAGTGAAGTTCCATGGGTGGAATGAAATCCAAAATGAGTGTTCATTCAGGTAACTTAATAACTGACTTATGCACAACATTCTAAAAGTCCCTGACTTTTTTTTGTTTGGGTACTTGCTGCTTGGAAGCCTGTATAATCAGTTTAATTTGAGTCACATGTTCGAAGCTCACCTCTCTGATGAAGATTCTTTGATTCAATGCCACACCAAGTATAAGGGTGAACACTTGAGTAATCAAATAATCTTTACAAGCTTTATGTCAGATGACAACACAAAAAACAATCTCTCAAGGCTCAATTTGTCCATGACCTGCTTTGCATTGTCATAATTTTAAGAGTGGTTTACTGCGATAGTCACGAGAAGTTGATTACTCTTGAGTCCTTGAAGAGAGGTTTCTTAGTTGGGGGAGAAGCATTTGGTTCTAAGTCAAGAAACCCTGAAGACACTTCCAGGAACCCCCCATCTTGATAAGCTCATTGGACAGAGGACTTCTGGTCTAAACTAAAGTGTTTCCTAGAACTTCAACATCTTTGCTGCACACCAATAGAAGTCTGAAATTTCTGAGGTGACAAACAAGTCAGAATGATGCTTTCTCAAAAAACTCAAACTTTTTTGTGAAGTTTTTTTTAACTACTCGTTAGGGAGTTACTTTGTTAAAAGTGCTTAAAAGCCCAGTCTGGTTTTGAACTTGTAGAAGTTGTTGAGCAGTCAAGGTGGATGTGGCTGGAAAAGTTGTTGAGCAAGGTGGATGTGGCTGCTGGAAAAAGTTCTCTTTATCTTGAAAAAAAGTTTACATCAAGATAACAGTTTCTCATATTATAAGGTTTTCTCGTCGTAATAAAAGAGTCATTAAAACAAAAGCATATTAAGCATATTTGACTAAAAGAAAATATTTTTCACCTGGAGTAACTGGAAGAAGCCTTCTTATTCCTTAACAAAGTTCCTTCATCCCTAGATGCACAATGCCATGAGATGAAGGAACCTTGCTAGCTACAACAGATGCAGCTACTCATTCTGCTGCTTTTATGTTTTTTGCTGCAACTTCTAGCAAGTTCTGTCAAAGCATTCCTTTTTGTACAATTATTTGGAATCTTTTTTACAATCAATGAAAAGCATGCTGAACAACATTTCTCAACAACTGGCTGTTTTTTCGGCTGACTGGTCATGTTTGTTGTTCCAATCAGCTAAGGGCTTCCAAACTTGGCTTTTCCCACTTAACAAATCATGCGATCACAAAGTGATTCTCTTGTTGCAGGATAAACTTTAGTCAGGCAGTGAGGGAAGTTGAACATCTTCACCATTGTCTTATTTTCTAAGGTCTACTCAGCAGTTCTTGCAGATATTAATTTGATAGCTTGATTAAAAACTTCTTGACAGCGTTTAATCATAAAGTCAGTCGGTCAGCCTGCTAGCTTTTTTTTTTTATGTCAGGTCAGGTTTATCCTGCTACTGGTAACATGTAACCCAGTACAATCTGCTTCATGTCCTGTTGCCTTGTAGGATATGCCTTTTTAGGCAAAGGCTAGGAGATGTAAACTCCGACATAAAACACCCCCTGCCTTGGGGCTCTTGGTTGAGTAAAGGCTAGAGATGGTGTCTCGATAAAAATACTCATCTTGGGCAGATGTTACATGCATCCGGCTGCTGTCTTGTAGAAGGCCTCCTAGGCAAAGACTTAAGGGGTAAACAGATTCTATCTGTTGACCAGCCTCGCACCCCTTCGTCATCTATTAGGCTGGCGCAGATGTATTTTTAATACATTGTTTCCAGTTTAGGATGTTGAACGCTGGATCTTCTTGACTCGATTCATGGGTTTTGCTTGTGTCTCTGTTTTTATGACTAGGCAACTCATTCTATTATCTCCAAATGAGGGTACAGCTCTAAAACTCAGTTTTATGGTTCTGAGGCCGGCTGGTAGTCAGGTTTCCCGAACTCTGTGGTAGCTCTCAGAGAGGCTGATTCCATCAACAGCTGAAAAATATCAGAGTACTAACAGTGCCATGTTGAGCATGGATGGTATCCCTGTTTGTACTTTTGGTGTGCATTGCCAAGGCCACATTGGAGCCCTTTGTTACGGCTTAGGGTTTATTAGTGGAAATGAGGCAATTGCTTGAGCTATAGAACAGTGTACTGAGTACTATCAATGTTTCGAGTCAAGTTCTTTAACAAATTTAAAAATGAATAAAGTAACAAAAACTATAAAACACAAAAAACCACAGTCATCACCAAGTTCGTAAACCTTTCATTCACCAATATTCGTGGTCTTCGACGTAACTTTTCTTCTGTTGAGTCTTATCTCTTGCAAAGTTCACCAGACCTGCTTGCTCTTTTTGAGACTAATTTGAGTTCAGCTGCTCATCTTGTGATCTTAGTGTTGATGGTTATCTTCCTTTAATTCGTAAAGACTCCAATAGTCACATGCTTGGCCTGGGCATTTACATTCGTAAGAATTCACTCATTTGTCGGGAAACTAGGTTTGAATCCACAGACTACTCTTTTATGTGCTTTCGTTTAGCACCACTTCACTCTATCACCTTTCTCTTTGTTCTATATCGCTCTCCCTCATCCCAAGACTGCACTCTTCTTGATGTTATTTCTGATTATATTGACCAAGCCCTCATTCTTTATCCATTAGCCAATTTTGTTGTTGTCGGTGACTTTAATGTTCATCACACTGAATGGCTTGGCTCTAGTGTCAGTGACTCTGCAGGCATTAAGGCCCACAACTTTTGTCTTTCTCAATCCCTAACTCAAATAGTCAACTTTCCAACTCGCTTTCCAAACAACCCGAATCATTTACCTTCTCTACTCGACTTTTGTCTTGTTTCTGATCCTAGCCAGTGCTCAGTTTCTTCACACTCACCCTTAGGTGCGTCTGATCATGGTTTGGTCTCTCTAAAACTATTATCTCATTCTTCTTCACCATTAGAATCCCCCTATCATCGTACATCTTACAACTACCTTAAAGCTGACTGGGACTCTTTTCGTGACTTTCTTCGTGATGGCCCCTAGGAAGAAATCTTTCTTCTCCCTGTTGACAAGTGTGCTTCTTACATAACTTCGTGGATTCAGGCTGGCATGGAATCCTTTATTCCCTCTCGACGATTCCAGGTCAAGCCTCACTTTTCTCCATGGTTTTCTTCACATTGTGCTGCTGCAATTGCCAATCGAAACCATTACTTCCATATCTATCAGCAAAACAATTCTCCAGAAAACAGACGTCTCTTTATTACTGCTAGGAACCATTGTAAAAAGGTTTTGTCTAACGCCAAAACCCGCTATTCTCAGATCATGAAATCTCGAATTTCATCACAAAAATTAGGCTCTCGTGACTTCTGGAGAATCTTTAATAGTATCAATAATAAGGGCAAGTCTGTAATTCCACCTCTTTTGTACGGTTCAGACTTTGTCACCTCACCTAAAGACAAAGCTGAATTGTTTGCCAAGAACTTTTTATCAATATCATCTCTTGATGCCACTAGTTGTGTTTTACCTGATATACCCGTCAAACAGGTTGATCCATTGCTCGACATTCGTATTACTCCAGCTTCTGTATCTAAAGTGATTTCCCGCTTAGACTCTTCTACAGCTTGCGGCCCGGACAACATACCTGTTATAGTCTTGCAGAAGTGTTCTCCGGAGCTGTCGTCTATTCTTTCAAAACTATTCAACAAGTGCTTATCAGAGTCTTGTTTTCCAGCCAGCTGGAAAGCAGCATCTGTTATCCCTATTTTTAAAAATTCTGGAGAGCGATCTGACTCATCTAACTACCGTCCCATTAGTCTCCTTCCTATCATAAGCAAGGTTTTTGAATCTTTAATTAACAAACACTTAATCTCTCATCTCGAATCTCATAACCTACTTTCTGATCATCAGTATGGATTTCGATCTTCTCGTTCTACGGCTGATTTGCTATCAGTAATAACCGATAGGTTTTATCGCGCATTAGATAAAGGTGGAGAGGTTAAGGCCATTGCTCTTGACATTTCTAAAACGTTTGATAAAGTTTGGCATGCTGGTCTCCTCCATAAGCTTTCTTCTTATGGTGTATCTGGAAACATCTTTAAGATTATTGAATCCTTCCTTTCCAATCGTAGTATAAAAGTTGTCCTTGATGGACAGCACTCTTCTTCTTATTCTGTAACCTCAGGGGTTCCCCAAGATTCAATCCTTGGCCCTATACTCTTTTTAATTTACATTAAAGATCTTCCAGATATTCTCACATCTAAGGTGGCATTGTTCGCTGATGATACTACCATTTATTCTTGTCATGATAAGAAGCCAACTCCCTCTGATTGCTTGCAGGGGGCATCTGAGCTCGAAAAGGATCTCACTTCTGCTACAGCATGGGGCTCGCAGTGGCTGGTGAACTTTAATTCTTACTCTGGATTCTATTCTCAATCTCTATAAATCTCAAATCCGGCCTTGTATGGAATACTGTTGCCATATCTGGGGCAGATCTTCTAATGATGCCCTTTCTCTTTTAGACAAGGTGCAAAAACGCATTGTAAACATAGTTGGACCTGCTCTTGCAGCCAACCTTCAACCTCTGTCACATCGTCGTAATGTTGCTTCCCTTTCTCTTTTCTACAAATACTATAATGGGCACTGCTCTAAAGAGCTAGCGTCTCTTGTGCCATCTACTAAAATTCATTCTCGTGTTACTCGTCATTCAATTAAGTCTCATCCTTTTTCTGTTACTATTCCTAAGTGCTCCAAAAACTCTTATTCGTCTAGTTTTTTTCCTCGAACATCAGTTCTTTGGAATTCGCTACCTTCATCTTGCTTTCCTGATTCATATAATTTGCAATATTTTAAGTCGTCTGTCAATCGTTATCTTGCTCTACAATCTTCATCTTTTCTCTTCCAGTATCTTCCAACACCAATAAGTGGTTGCTTGCAACCTTGTTGGAAGCGAAGATAATTAAAAAAAAAAAAAAAAAAAACAGAGAAAATAGACAGTGTTACTGTTGTCATCAATAGTATTTGCTTGATTCAGCATTTTAAATAGTTTTACACTTGTATTTTGCTCCAAAGGCACAATGAAACTGTTTGCAGGCCTTTCCCGAAATTTTAAAATCAATAAAGGGTCTAGAAACCCTTACTTAAACAAATTGCCTTCTCTGTTTGTAACTTATGTGACAAAAATATACAGTTTTTATGTAAAAAAAGTTTTATTTTACTTGATTAATAATCGTGTTAATAGGCTTAAAAATCAAAATTTCAATTCCATTTTTCTTTCACGGACAATGATGAAAGATTTCAAAACCAACTCTAATGTACTCCTACACACTTTTACTACCTCTAAGGTTTTTCTTGGGAAAAGAGGTTCAAATTTAAAATCATTTTGTGACACAGTGATAATATATTAAGACGATCTCCAAATCATTGGGGTCTGAAAATAGATTGTCTCGTTGTTGAAGCAGCCTTTCTCATATGGAGTTTGTATTAGTCAATGGAAGAATGTATTAGTTGATTTTACTTAAGAAAACATATTAGTCAATTTAGTCAACAATTATTAAATAGTTGTAACAACACCAAAATATTTCCGAATTATTAAATAGTTGTAACAACACTAATGTTTTATAAACTGAAATTGTAACAATACTAATGTTTTATAAACTAAAATTTAGAGTGAACATCACAACAAAGACAAATTGAAAACAGGAAAATCCCAACTTGTGTGTAAACTTATTTAAAAACATTTCTACAGTGAATTTACACACATTTTTTATTCAAACCAGATATTTTAATGACAAAAAAAACTCGGCAAAATCAGAGGTCTATTATTAGTCTCAGAAACAAAAACAGGAAAAAACGAAACAGCTGATATTTTTTTAAAATTATTTTAATAAGTAATTTGTTTTAATAAGCTTATTTAAATAAAAACCTTTTTTCTAAAAATTATGAAAAAAACAACTTAATTCAGCAGTAGTCTCTTTAATGATACTTGTTTAAAAAATTTTATTACCTTCAATTTTTCCAAATCAACTTTAAGTCTCTCTTCTTTTTCTTTAACGTTCATAAACTTAGCCTGGATTCTTTGCAACTGCTCTTCATAGTTTTGACACATCATGCATTGATTCGGTTGGCTTATTTCCTGAAATCGTTTGTTTGTTTTTTTTAAATCACGACAAATTTTACATTTTTTAGATAAAAAAGTTTTTCATTTCCTTATATTTATAAATATTTTTTTAATTTTTTATTAATTAGTAGAAATGTTTTTCACTAACTTCTATCCAATTTTTCTCAACCATTGATGATGTCATTGAGTATTTTGATTCTGTTTCATCTGTCATTGTACTGTCTTGTATACTCCACGATTCTTCATCTCGATTCTTGCTTCGATTACTCCATGACTCTTCATTTTGATTTTTAATCCATGAAACATCACCTTGTGATAAAGACTTTTCCTGTAAATATTCTGCAAAAAATTTTAATAAGTTAAAATTTAAAATTTTTAAAGTTTTGAGACATTTCAAATATATATATATATATATATATATATATATATATATATATATATATATATATATATATATATATATACACACACACAAATAGTATTGCGTACTAAGGTAATCAATTTGACGTCATACTCAAATAGCCTGCTGCTGGGGGCTTCAGTACATACATCAACTGACAAATAGCCTGACTCGCAGTGGAGTGCTGTTACATCGACTGAGGGTTTGGGATGGGGAAGCAATCGTTTTATTCATCATTCTTCGTTTTTTCTTCTTCTTTTTCGAAAAAAACGGTATAGCTTAAAGTAAGCAGAAAAAGTGAACAAATGCTTATCAAAACACGCTTTAGTAAGTGTATATATATATATATATATATATATATATATATATATATATATATATATATATATATATATATATATATATATATATATATATATATATATATATATATATATATATATATATATATATACATAAACATATTCATATACACACACACACACACACACACACACACACACACACACACATATATATATGTGTGTGTGTTATTATATATTATATATATAAAGCAAATGATAAAAATTCATCATGGTTTCATTTTGTAAGAGAAAAAGCAGGACAGTGTGCTAAATGCAAATTAAGTAAGAGAATAATAAAAACACATGGAGGTTCTACAAGCAATCTTCATACCCATTTTTAAAAAATTCATTAAACTAATTTATTAAAAAGAGATGCAGGTAGCCCCACTGTTTTAGATTCTTTAGAATTTGTACAGACATCAAAATCTTCTGTAACTTTCTGTAACTGTAACAACTTTTTTAAAAGTAATAAAATGGATGATTCATTGCCAGTTATTTTAGCTAGGATGAATGCGTGTGATGGTTTATCATTCAACATTATCTGCACATCATATGATATCAGGAAAGGTTTAACAGCCAGAGGCTTTTCTAACTACCAAAGGTTCACAAAACAATTTACAAAATGGTCTTGAATTACAGTAAAAATATACGAGACGAAGTAATTAAAGTACTATCAAGCAGAATTGCTAATGGAAACAGATTTTCTCTAACTTTCAATGAATGGACATCGATAAGAAATAGACGTTACATAAATATTAATATCCACTCTGACAAAGAATTTTGGAATCTAGGATTAATTTGTGTGTTTGGAACAATTCCTACACAAAAATGTGTTGAGCTTGTCAATTATAGGTTAGGTGATTTTAAGCTTTCTATCAAGAATATTGTAGGTATTACCACTGATGACACTGCAGTTATGATAAAGGTAGGCAGGTTAATTGAAGCACATCAGCAGCTATGTTTAGCGCATGGAATTCAGTTGGCTATTATCGGTGTACTCTACAAAAAACCTTATAATGAGGATAGTCTGCATAATAAAGAAGATGCCAACGTTACATCAGTTCCTACACCCAGATTTGAAAAAGAGTAGAATTCCACAGATGACAACGAATTAATTGATGAAGATTATGAAGATGAAAATAGTTTAATCATAATTTCCACTGAAAACAATGATGATAACTCTTCTATTCTGGTACACCAGCAAACATTACCATTGATTAAAGTTCAAAAAGTGGTTAAAATATTTCGCTCTTCACCTACAAAAAATGAGAAAATCCTACAAAAATATGTAAAAGAAGAGTTCGGGAAAGAATTGTCTTTGTTTTAGACTCAAAAACACAACGGAATAGTTTGGTGTCTATGATAGAGCGTTTTTTCAAATTAAAAAATTGCATCAAAAAGAATCTAGTAGATTTAAAACTACCTTTTTTGTTTTCAGATGCAGAGTTTGAAATGTTGTCAAATATCCTTTCAGTTTTATTTTTTAATAAGCTTACAGTTGAAGCAATCTGCTGACAAGATGCAACTTTGTTACCTGCAGATGCTGCTATTCAATTTATGATGAAATCAATAACTGGCCATCCATGTTCATCAAGTTATAAATTGAAAGCAGCTTTAAAAGTATTCTTGAAAGACAAACAGAAATTTTAAGTGTTTTGCAATATTTACATGATGCAGATTCCAATCAAAATTCAAGTGATGATGAAACCGATAAAGATTACGAATTATTTCCAATCATTACCAAAGCTGCAATCGCAAAAGTTATCGTTTTACAGATACAATGTCTGGGTGTGGTCTAACTTTCATTGAGTGTGGCCTAACTTGCATTATGAAGCTGCACCTGTACCAACAACATCTACTTCAGCCAACATTTCAAATTCAGACACAAATATAATATTCAATGTCAATGATGATGAAGTTGATCAAAGAAATGAAATTTCTCTGACTTTAAGAGAAAAGTTGGAGATTAGAATATCAAAAAAAATTTGCACCAGATTACCTGAGAGTGGAATTGACCAAAATAAAAAAAATCTCCCACGCTCAATAAAAAAAGAAATGTCATTTTTGAGACAAATGGCATAAGGAGCACATACTTAACTTAATATATAACTATTTGCTAAGTATTCAATCAACCAGCGTAGAGTCAGAGAGAGCTTTTTCGGTAGCTGGCTTTATCTGCACCAGAATTCTGAGGACTTATATCAACAACCAATTGCAGAAAAAGTAGAACCTTAAAAATTATTGTTTTCTTCCTTTTCTTATGATTAATGTATAACTAACATTTTACTGAATTTTGTTTTTCTTTATTTTATTCTTTAAATAAGTTAATATAGTTTTTTTTAATTGCCAAACCATTTTTTAATTATATTATTTATTCAATCGTATTATTATATAGAAAAATACTGTACCGGTATTAATACCGGAATCCCAGGATTAGAAATTTTTAATACCAAAATACTGGTATTTGATTTTTAGTCCGGTATTCCCAACCTTAGTTCCTATGCACAGTAGGTCAGAATTCACTTTAAATAAACTATTAAAAATTAATAGCTAATTAAATGTCTTTATTTACTAAATTTGGCATGAGTACTAATATATAACTTTTACTAATATATTTTATCAGAAGCGCAGCATTATGTCTGCGCTTTTAATGAAAGTGATAATTTTATATTTGGTTGTTATGGATACCTAATATTGCTTAGCAACATCCTATTTTTGGTAGTGGCAGATTTATCATGTGTAATGTATACACTATATTTAGTATGTGCATTAACATAAGGTTTGCACTTCTTATAAAGGTAAAAAATTTTAAATTTGATTGCTATGGATACTGAATTTTGCATAGCAACAACCTTTTTTTGGTAGTTGTAGTTGTTTTATGTATGCTATATACATTAGGGATGTGACTTTTTGGTAAATTTTTGGTATCTCTAGTTTCCAATAAAAAACAGATGAACTTTGGTTTGAAAGTAACTGAAAAGTCATTGGTTTTATTTAACTTTTGAAAAAAGTCACCAACCATGACCATTGATTATACACTATATTATTATGACCATTGATTATACACTACATATTTTTTTTTTTTTCCAAAAGTATATCAACCTGGGTCTCAAAAGAACCATTTTATAAAGATTTCAAAATTCATAATCTTTTCTACCAAAACATTAAAAAAATATTGCAAACAAAATGTCATAAAAAACAACCTTTTCAATTTTTAGTTAAAAACTATTGTTTTTCGTATATAAAATTTCAGCAATTTATTTTTATTTGAAACCATTATTATTTCTGAAATCTCTATGAAATTCTGGTTCTTTGAGACCCTAGTTGATATACTTTTGAAGAAAAAAAATTCACTGAAATATAAGAGCCAGTGTGTAGTCAAGGGTCATGGTGGGTGACCTTTTTTAAAAAATTAAATAAAACCAATGACTTTTCAGTTACTTTCAAATCAAAGTTCATCTATTTTTTATATTGGAAACTGGAGTTAGCAAAAAGTCACATCCCTAATATACACTACACTAAGTTTGTGCACATATATGAGGTTTGCACTTCTTATGAGGGGGATACTTTTCATTTGGTTGATAAGGATATTTTTGCATATCAACAATCTCTTTTAATAGATTTTTTTAGAGTGCTATATTCACTAAATTTGGCATGAGTACCAATACGAGGTCGCACTTTATATAAGTGACAGCTTTTTATATAATTGCTATGGATACCTATATTGCTTAACAACCAGATACTTTTCTTAGTTACAGAGAAGTAAATGGATTTTTGAAAAGTTTTTATTGAAATTTCAACTGTCCTATTTTAAATAACAATTAAATATTAAGGTAAATGATTTTAGGCAAAGATTTAGGTAATTAATTATGTGAATATTCAATTTTGTGATTAACATGTCTAAAAATATAACCAATACAATAAAAAACTTTTTTTTTGATTAGATTTTTAATAATTAAACTTTTATGATAATACTCATTTATTACAGCTTAAAATGACATTAGCAACCATGGCTAAATACTATCTATTAAATGTTAAATTTATTACGACTTAAAATGACATTTATAACTTGTATTGCACCTTAAAACGACATTAGCATAACTTTAGTATTATCTTTTAAATGTTAAATTGTAATAAAATAGCAACCAATATTGTTGTTAAGCAAAAATAATTTTAAAATACTGTGTAAAAATGTACCAAAATTATAAAAAAATTATCAACTTTTCATCTCAGGATGACTGAGGTTATGCCTTTCCTTTTGGAAACCCTAACCCTTAACTCTTACTTATGATCTTTCTTGGAAACCTTATATCAAATCCGTTGCAAAATTAGCATCTGCTAAAGTTGCATCTCTTTATCAGGCTCGACACTTTTTAACTCTGGATTCTAGTCTCTATCTCTATAAATCTCAAATCCGGTCTTGTATGGAATACTGTTGCCATATCTGGGGCAGATCATCCATCCACTCTACCTCTTTGACTTTCCTCTTGTAAAAATTTAGAAGCTCCTTAGTCTAATTGAGAAAAAGCATTATCTTAAGGTAACATATGCTTTTGGCCATAAACTGTGCATGATGAATTGCACCAGGTTTATGAATGTGGTTTAATTTCTGGACCCAAGAACAAAAAGGAACAAAAATTTTCATTATATCTAAGAATAATCTATTATTTATTTTCATAACTTTTTTTAATAACTTATTTAATTTTTCTTATTGCCGTAGCTTAAAAATTTTAAACTTTAAAATTTTAAAAAAAAAAAACTCTAACAAATTATTTAAAAACATATCTTTATTATTTCTATTTTAATTAATTTCTAATTTAAAACATTTAAATTTTTAAATAAATAATTCCTCAAAGTTTCCCCTTAAACAAAAACTGATATTAATACGTTATACAATGTGCAAATAGCTTTAGTATAATTTTTTTTTGGTTGATTTTTAAATTAATGCGCAAATTTTTCGGATAGTAATAATTATTTTTTTCCTATAACTTTTTATTTCTAGTCCTTAAATTAACTGGTGTTTAAACAAACAATAATCTAAAATATTATTTTTGCAGTAGTAAATTTATTCTTTTGTTTTTTTATTGTATTTCTCATTAATTTGCAATAAACTGTGAATTTAATGACCAGAAATATTTCTAGATATCACAATTTATGATCACTTGATTCAAGTCTTGTTTACTTTTGTTTACTACTTGACCCACTGTGCACCAAGGAATCACTTTAAAGCTTATTCTAAGCAAATCAGATTTGTATAATTTTTTCTGGATCATTTCTTAAACTAATAAAAACTAATCCTTTACCTTGTGAAGAAGATTCAACATTTATTATATCTCCATGAGATGAAGATTTTTTTAATCCCAGTATATTTTTTTCAGACTCATTAATTACAGGTGTTTCCATGCCAAATGCTTCTTCTGCTTTTTCTATATTGTAACGATCATGATTTTGTTTTATAATAGCTTGCTCTATGTCATCATCACTATCGGATAACAACAAATTTGGTGAACTGGTATTCCTATTTTTTTCTTTGTCCTAAATATAATATATAAAAAATATAATAGACACAGCAAATAAATATTTTATAAAAAAAGTATATTAAATACTACAACTAAATACAATATATATAATAAATGTATCAAATTAAAAATGCTTTAGTATGCTTGTGTAACTGTTAGTACATATGTTGTACATATAATAAATGTACTCATCAGAACAGTTTATTAAACTATAAAAAATATTAAGACCATAACAAACAAAATAAAAACACAGAAAATATATTAGACCACGCAAATAAATTGAAAACCTAAATAAATCAAAATTTAATAAAAATTTTTCTAGCACATGCTTTTTCATGCATGTTTTTATAACAGTGAAAAATATTTTTATTTACGAGATAAAGTGACAAATTTATGTCCTTTGAAACAGTAAATTATAAGAAAAAATTTTTTTTATTTACATGGAAAAATGACAAAATTTTGTCCTACAGTAAAATTGAAGTAGTAAAACAAATGTGTAAAAAGTTAAAAACTTTTTATTGTAATTTTTTATATTTCAATATAATTATAGATAAAAAGACCCTTCCTAAGACCCTTACGAAGAATGTTCTTAAAAAACAGAAAAAAAAAAGTGTTTTTTTACTTATATTATTTAATGGAATAATCAATATAAAAATAAAAATATATATTAAAACTGATTAATTAACAAACGGCTCTGTAAACAAATAATTCACAGTGGGGCAGTAAGGTAGTCTGACCCTCATTTAAAAGTCTGAAAAAGCTTGTTCTGAAAACATTTATCAATAGAATGTAAAGAAAAATCAATATTCAAGTGCAAACATTGTTCCGTCAAAATTAAATTCCATTCATTGACTTCAAGTTTCATTTAGAGCACAAACACAAAATTTTTCCTACCAAAATTGTTTCAGAAGAAATTTAGAGAACAAACAAAAATTTTCTGACCATCTGTGTTTTAAAAAAACAAAAAAATATACAGCCAAGTATTGCTGCCTGTAATAAAATAATTAACAAAGCTAAAGAAGCTTCTTAAGCAGCTGTAAATTATATCTTTTTTACAACATTACCCAATAGTAAAGATATAAAAACTGGCTGAAAAAACAACTTTAGCCAATAGTAAAGATATTAAAAATGGCTGAAAAAACAACTTAAGCCAATAGTAAAGATATTAAAATGGCTGAAAAGCTGAAGGACTTAAAATCCCTGATGATCAACATGCTATAAAGGCAATTGTTATGAAATACACAAGTTCAATAAAGTTAAAAATTGCTCAAGAGCTTCAGAAAAAAAAATTACTTAGAGAAAGAATTTTAATTTCTCTTGATGAATGGACTTTAGGTGAAACTAGAAGGTGTGTCATTGTTATGTGCATCGTTCAGACAAACTTCATTATGCTCTTGGAGTGATTAGAATAAATGGTGGAGTGATTAGAATAAATGGTGGAATGATTAGAATAAATGTTAGATTAGAATAAATGATAGAATGATTAGAATAAATGGTGGGTTAGAATAAATGATAAAATGATTAGAACAAATAAAGCCTGTAGAAAAAATAGTTAATATTGTTATTGACAAGTTATATTATATTTTTAATTCTTATATTATTTATAAGTGTATAATTTATAATTTTATTTATAAGTTATATATGATTATATTTGATCTTATAGTGCATCATTTATAAAAAAATGCGACAAGAAATGAGAGTCACCCATGAAATGGGTAATACCCACCATTTTTGCAAAAACTAATCAATAACTGATTAATTTTTTGAAAAGCGATCTTTAATCAATTAATCTTTCAAAAACTAATAACAAATGCATTGACTTTTCAAAAATTGATTGTTATTAATTTAAATTATTAATTATAATTAATAAATTTATACACATAAATTTATCAATTATTATTGATAAATTTATGTGTATAACATAAATACACATAGCACCCCTAATATTATTATCTATTATTAGACATTTTATGAAGTATTGTTTTGCAATAAATACATATTTTAAATTATATCTTATCTAACAATTCAAGATGTACACAACTACATACAATCATTTAAAAAGAATGAAGAGAAAGAAGAATGCTTTATAAAATCTACTCAAATCTAAAAAATGTACATATCTTGACAGATTTTAAAATGTACACATTTGTAAAATGTAGACATCCCAACAGATCTTAAGTGCTGCAAAAGAAGATCTCTAGCTTCAATAATTTTTTAAATTTTTTCTTCAGTTAATCATAGCGTTCTTATCATTTTTTTATATTACAATAAGCATTTTTTGTATTTAAAGCTAAAAAGAATATTTTTGTTTTGTAGAGTAATAGTTAATTACTTAAAAATTTTATTTTGTGAAGTTTTGAACTATTTTTGTTACAGATCTCAGATAGTGAAAAAATCCAGCTGTTAGAAAACTTTGACCGCAAGCCATGCTATTATTAAATAGTTTTATGTGTGTTTTGTAAAAAATATTAGTTTAGATAAATTTAACTTTTTTTAAAAAATACTTATATTATAACATGGTGTCAGATTGGAAGTCTTCACGATCTGACCAAGAAAAATATAGTTTAGAAGAAAAAAAAGTTTCAAAAAAGAGAAAACTTATTTAAAAAATCTTCAAAATAAAATCATACCTTATTTATTAACTCATTAAGTTCTCTGGCAGCTGGAAAGAGTGAGTCAAAAATTCTTCCCGATATACTCTAATTTTAATATAAGAACCATTAAATTTGTTAAAGCTAAAAATATAACAATATATTTAAAAAATTTTTTTTACTGCTGACTATTAATAGCATTATTATTAGCTCTCCTTATTCGCTTTTTAATGGTTAAAACCAAGTTAATTTTAGATCTACTTTTTTTTTTGGTGTCAGTTAAAAACTTCTTTTCTTTTTAATTTATTAATACATATTTAACTTCTGAGCTCATTTTTTATTAGAACTCTTTCTCAACAAATTAACAACACAAACCTTCTCTCAACAAATTAACAACACAAACCTTCTCTCAACACTTGAAAAACACAAACCCTCACTTAACACTTTAACAACACAAACTTTCTCTCAACACTTTAACAACACAAACCTTCTCTCAACACTTTAACAACACAAATCTTCTCTCAACACTTGAAAAACACAAACCTTCACTCAACAATTTAACAATACAAGCCCTCACTTAAGACTTTAATAACACAAACCTTCTCTCAACACTTTAACAACAAAAAATCTCTCTTAATACTTGAACAAAAAAAATCTTTATAAAAAAGACAAAACAATTGCAAAACAAGTAGACTATGACTTTTGAACTTTCAATTTTATTAAATATTGAAACTTTTTATCGTTTGGAAAATCATGTACTTCAAGGAACTAAATTAACAGAATGGGGTATTTATTAGCTTTATATTTATTAGGACCTTGTCCCTCTTGACCCCCTTCCCCTCCTTCTTTTTATCAATTTTCAAAAAATGTAAGATTTTAGACATTAAGAAGCACTTATGAAAAAAAAATTATTTTGTGACAGAGTAGTTTGCTGAAATTGAGGAGTTTATTAACTTATTTGTTCATTTTGACCCTAATTAATTCAGCACCAGAAAGTAAAAGTGTAAATTAGCACAACTTTTTAATTAAAAAAACATTGATGATATTAATACGCAGCTATCATGTGATTAGTTAACAAATGAATAATATGACAGACCAATAAATAATGATAGTTAATTTTTGCCTTCAAAATGCAAAAGTTATTGAGTTATACAATAGTGGCCGGGAGGTTGATTCCAAAAAAAAATTGAAAAATTAATTAAAAAGAACTATTAAATCCACAGACAAATTGAGTTTATTCAGAACTTTTGTCTCAATATTGCCACACCTAAAGAAAGTTGGACAGTTTTGACAGTTTATTTTTAAAAATAACAAAAATAAAATATTGTAATTTTACTTTTATTGTTATTTTGAAAAAGTTTTGTGTTTTTTCAAGTTTCTATATTATTTTTTATATTAACTATTTTGTTGTTAACTTCTTATATTAACTATTTTTTTTCCTTGTAAAACTTCAAATATTTTATTGCTCAAATTTATTTTTTTAAATATATTTTTTAATGCTATAGGCTCACGCCAGCTTGGCTCAACAACTAAAAAAATGTTTAAAACAAATATATTATCACCATATTATAACCAGAGCCAATTTTTGTTTAAAAAACAAATTTAACTTTTTTGTTGTTTACTTCTTATATTAACTTTTTTTTTCTTGTAAAAATTTTAATACTTTTGTTTAAAAAACAAATCTAATTTTATAAACAACGATGACAACAATGTGTTTCAATAAACTTTGTTTTTTAATTCAGAAATTTTTTTTTTTAATTCAAGTTAATATAGTCGAAAACATAACAAAGTATTTTTTGTTATTTTATAAACTTTTTAATTAAATATGTTTTTATACTACCTTAGTAGTATAAAAAGACTTTTACAAAACAACAACAAAATTTTAAACACTTTTAAATAAAGTAACAAATTTTAAAAATTGTTTTAAACAAAATGTTAAGAATATTATAAAAAACTAAATTAAATTTTGTTTTTTTGCATTTTATGATTATGTTTGAATACAATTTTATTAACGGTTTTATTTTATAATTAAAATTATATTGATATTGTAAAAACATTAGAAAAGATCAAAGTTATTAACATAAGTATAAGCATAATTAAATAATTTTCTATTAGAGTTATAATTTTTTAGTTTTATTTAGTTATTTAGTAGACTTTTTTTTTTAAAGCTATAGTTTTTAATTATTATTTTTATCAATTTCTCCTTCGTTAAGATTTTTTTTCTTATTTTATAGTAAAAGCTTACAGTTATTTTATAGTTTTTTCAGTGCGTTATTGAAAAATTATTGAGAAAAATTTTTGAAAATTTTGAAGATTACCAAACCATCTCTTTCTAAATACATTATTAAGTTCATCCATGAAAGCCAATACTCTTTATCATTTCCAGTAACCACAAAGTTATATCCTTGGTCCTGTATTGTTTCTTATCTACATTGATGATCATCATTACAATCTTACATCTAGAGTGGTACTATTATGGCTGACAACTTAACTTTATACTCCTGTCTAGACAAAAAGTCTTGAATATGATCTTACGCCTGTGACAACTTGGGACTTGCAGTGGCTTGTTAATTTTAACTCCAAAAAAACTCAGTTATTTACTGTAAATAACACAATACTGTCAAAATTTCTATAATAATGAATGGCAATCCTTTCACTGAGTTCTCTTTTGTACGTCTTCTTGGATTATCATTCACTACTGACCTCTCATGGAAACTATTTATACAATTAATTGCAAAATTACCATTTGCTAATGTTGCTTCTCTTTATTTTCTCCTGATTCAAATCTCTACCTCTAAAAATCTCTTATTCGCCTCTGTATGGAATACTGTTATTATATTTGGGCTGTTTCTTATAATGAGGCTCTATCACTTCTAAACAGGGTCCAAAGCACATTGTAAACATAGTTGGACCTGCTTTATATTCCAAGCTTAAGCCTCTCTCCCACCATCATAAGGTTGCACCTTTTTTTTCTTTTCTATCAATTTTATAAACCAAAACTCATTCTTGCTTTACTTTTCATTCAGTAAAGTCTTATTTTTTGACTCTATTTGTCTTTAAAAACTTTTATTTGTCTAGCTTTTTCCCTTTAATTATTTGGAATTCTCTCCCATATTCATGTTTTCCTGACCCATACAACATACAACTTTTCAAGTATTCTGTCAACTTGCTCTATAACTCTATTCTTTGTTTTCTAGTAACTCCTAATTTATTTGTGGTTGCTTGCAGCCTTGTTGGGAATAAATTAGATTAAAAAAAAAACAGAACATAAAAAATGTAATAAAAACAACACTACAATTGAACTGAATATAAAGTATTAAATGAAAAGAATATAAAAAATAAATCTAATTTTGAACAAAAACATAAAAAAAAAATTTAAAACGTTTTTTATAAAAACTGCACCAAAATTATATAATTAACTCAAGCCTCAAAACATCAAGAAATAACTCAAGCATACCGTTTTTATTTTACTAGCAATAGCAGGTGACTTTCGTTTCAAAAACTGAGGGCTCAGTTTTTCTTTGTCAAAACTAATAAGACTTTCTATGCTTTTTTGTTTTTCTGAGTTTGTTACTGGTTTGAATGTACTAAAATTATTTCTAAGACTCTTAGAGATTTGCTCAAGTTGTTGAGATGTGAGCACCTCACGCATCAACTCCATTTCTTTTTGCATTGCATTATGTGTAGTAATAAATTGTTCATTAGCAAGTGTCCATGTCTCTTTTAGTTCCTTATGGTTTGATTTTTCTTGCTCCAAGAGATGACAAACTAAAAAAAAAAAAAAAAACACTTTTACTGATAACAAAGAATGAAACTTATTTTAAAAGTAAATTAATTTATTTTACCATTTTTTTTATTATTTTTGGTATTGGTTAACAAATTATTGTTATGGATATTGCTATAGATTTATAAGGATATTGAGAGAGACTTATAGTGATGTTAGTAGAAAAATTATATGTTTGTTGTGTTTGTTTAGCATGTATAAAACAGATGTTTGTTTAGCATGTATAAAACAATTGAGTAAATAAAAAACTGAGTGCTGATATTTTAAGCAAGTTGTTGTTGTTGTCAATGTTACTTTTCAACTTGTATTTAATTTCTGTGCAATACCATTTGATGAGTTTATTACAACTTTCAATAATGGCCAACTTTTTAATATAGTAGTAATATATTTATAAATACTTAAAAACATGTTATGTATTTTTTCGGATAACTTTTTCTTTTAATGACCTGAAGATAATTTATTTAGTATTACTAGCTGAGATCGGACCTGTAAAAAAACAAGTCTTTGTAAGTCTATTTGAAACCGAACTTTACTATACTTTTTCCCAATACATCATAGCTTTACGGATCTGTAAAATACGGGTCTTAACTAAGCTTACCATATCTATTCTGCACTGATTATTTATATACCTATTCCTTATTAGGTTCAATATTTTCTAGAAAAACAATTTGTTCTGAAAAAAACATTCTAGAGTAAAAAACTTTTTCAATCATCCTTATATACTTATAACAAAAAAATAATGTGGCAAAAAAGATTTTTAAAATTTAAAATAAAATTTTAAAGTTTTCTCATTTTATAGATATATTATACGCGATTATCTCAATATAATGCAAGCAAACTCAACATATGCTTAAGACGTTTACAAACGTTTGTACATAATGCTATACAAATGGAACTAAGAAGACCTTAGACCACTAAAATATAGTCATAAAAAAAAAGTCCATTCTAAACCTTTATGCGTCATGTTATCTTTTGCATATTACATTTTTTGATTAATTTTATTTGTAGCATACAATTGCATAAAAATATATAAAACAGGTACAGATAAATCTTTTCACGGATAAGAGATTGTATTTATTACAATAGTAATAAATAAATAGTTTTTGTCTTTATTAGAATATATCCCATAAAAATATATTCTATATATCATAAATAGAAAGAGTTTTTTTAAAAAACTTAAATAAAATTATTTCTTGTTTGTTTTTCTAGTTTTTTGCCACAGAGTGACGCCACATACACAAATAAATTGTGGCTTCTACAATTTACGAAAAAGCCTCAGCTATCATTTTTAACGGTCTAAGAAGCAGATAACGTAATTTTAGCGATCAGAAATTATCAAGAGAAGGGCAAATCTAAAATTGAAGTTTTGAATTTTTCACTTGGATGATGCAATATGTTTCGTTTTTTTTCAATCTTGTTAATTTTTGTAAATATAATTACATACCTACAAAAAATCAAAACATAACTTTTTGGGTCAAATTATCTCATTTCAACAATATTGGTTGTATCATCCATTCTGCTGCCATTTTTCAAAACGCTTCAAGGTAAAAAAAAATCAATTTTGACTTTTTTATAAAATAAACTAGTTTAGATGCCTACAAATGTTTTTGAATAGATATTTTCAAAGAGTTCTGAAAAAATTCATAAAAATTATTCGTTTCAAAAAACGTTTTACAAATTTTCTCCTAACAGTTTTTTTAAATTGCGTTTTTCTTGAAATAGTTAATCAGCATATTAAGGCGTTTTGAAAAACAGTTGCAGCATATATTTATAGTTAAAAAGTAAATGTAGCAAGATAAACTTTTAATTGTAAAAAGAAAGTTTTAAAGTTTTATCTAGCTTCAGACTTTTTTTTTTTTTTTTTGCCTCCACGGCAGCACCTTCTTTAGCAGCAGGACTTTCTTATTAAGTTTTTTCTTCATTAAGTTGCAGACAACTTTTTTTTTAGACCATCCACAGCTTATTAGGACTAATTACCTAAGCACATTAATAACATTAAGCTCATCTCAATCATGACACATACCCATAAATTTTTTTCTCCCGGTGATGTTTTTTTTGATGTTTTAAGAAATTTTAGCTTTCTTAAAATTTTTTCTTTTGTAAAAGTGTAATATAGTTACATATGTTTGTATATAATCTCTATAAAACTTCAAAAATGTTTAGTATTTTAAAATAATCAAAAAAAAATTAAAAATAAAAAGTTGCCTGTGGTATGAATCGAACCTCAGCTTACTTGTTCAGAAGCTTGGCGCCTTATCCACTCGACCACACTGGCATATTCTCAAGCAAATATTTTTAAAACAATAAAATGACTTTTTTAAGGGAAAAAATGTTATACATCAAAATTAAGTAGTGCTTGACGCAATGTAATTTTTAATTGAAAATCAAACTGTAAATCTTGATAAATGTTTCAGTATGCTTTAACATATGTTAAATTTTTAAATTTAACATAATTTAAAGTTTTGTGCATTAGATATTTGGATACGCATTCATTCATGTTTTTTTTATAAAACAAAGCTGCTGCAACTCTTTCTTGCCATTACCTTGCTTTCAATGGCTGCCAAGGGTACCGTGTCAAACAGGCTCAAAAGCCCATTACTAATACTAACACTATTAAGTTCAGTATTATTAATTAGATTAGAACTTATTTTTGAAAAAACAAGATTTCTTAAAAGTTTTAAAATTCAGTTTTTACTGCATCTATTTAACAAACTTGATGTATGTATTATTAACCAATGTCTTGAAAAACATTTATCACAGTTTTAAATGTATGTATGTATATATATATATATATATATATATATATATATATATATATATATATATATATATATATATATATATATATATATATATAATATATATATATATATATATATATATATATATATATATATATATATATATATATATATATATACAGTCAGCAAAATTCAGGTCGACATTCGGCAATGCTGACGCAAAAGCCGACCTATCTTTGCTTTAGGGCGGCATACAACTGCCGACCTGAATATTCAAAAGTGTCAGCATGCAAATTGAAATACATGTAAAAAATATATAATATTCGTTAAATATTATTTTATAATTCTATTTTTTTATTTTTCGTTCATATTTTTTTAATTCATTTTTTCTTTTTTCTCAAGTTTATTTAAATATAGCAAGGTTAAAAAATATTACTTTTAAATGCCTGTTGCTCTCACACTTTTCAAGTGCAATTATTATTTTATTAAAACATAATTTTAATTTGTTTTATTAGTTTAAACCATTTAACTAATAAAATAATTTACATGTTTAGACAGGTATAGCTACAACTATTTTAAAAAAAGGATGCACATTGCATTTGTTTCTTCGCATTGCATTTGTTTCTTCAACTTCTTGTACCAATTTTGTTAAAAGGACATAATTTACTTTAAATTCTATATGTGGCCAATTCATAAGGCAAATTATTATGTATTTATTAAAGAAGACATCTATGATACCCAAACTTGAGGAACCGATTTTACCAATGCCGCTTAAATCTTGGCAGTAAAACTGAATTTAACATTGAACTACTTTAAAATTAAACTACCTTTCCAGTGGTTTCCAGTGGTAGTTTCCAAACTACCTTTAAATTTATAGTATTATCATATTATTTTATTTTAAATTTAATGTATTTTCATTTTAAATGAACCATATTCTTTCAATTAAAATTTAAAAAATTTTTATTATTGCTAATAACTTATTCATGAAAAAAAAAGCATAACAAATAAACTTTGTGATTAAAAAATTAAATAATTGAAAAGCTAAAACTTATATCCTAAAACAAAATTTAATTTTTATAAAGAACTTACAAAGTGCTTCACAAAATTCCTAAAAACTCCTCAATTCCTAAAAATGTTCACTTGATTTGAAAGTAAGCAGAAAAATGGTTCTTCTTCTTCTATTTTTTTTTTGAGAAATTTTATATTGTTTAAATGTCTTTGCCATAGATAAAACAATGTCAGCACTGAGCAAAGTTCCCACTTAAAAATAATGTCAGCACTGAGCAAAGTTCCCACTTAAAAATAATGTCAGCACCAAGCAAAGTTCCCACTTAAAAATAATGTCAGCACTGAGCAAAGTTCCCACTTAAAAATAATGTCAGCACCGAGCAAAGTTCCCACTTAAAAATAATGTCAGCACTGAGCAAAGTTCCCACTTAAAAATAATGTCAGCAAATTTTTTATTAATATTTGAATATCCGCTTTATTTTTTCTAGATGCTTTTCTACTTTAATAAATGTTTGGAATGAACTTTAAAAGTAATAAGTGCTTTATAAATATAATAACACTATTATAGTTTTAATACTTTTATAATGCAGTTAGTGACTAAAGTGTTATTACTTTTGTAGTTGTAAGTTTATTGTTTTTGTTTTGTTTTTTGTAACTTTCTCGCTAGCAAACTTTTAATAATTTGCTAAAACTTGCGCAAACGGCTGTGATCACGTTCTCTAACTTGAAAAACGTTTTCGTGGTCGTACGAGATGAAAAACCGCACATTTTTCCTGGGAAGGCTTGAAGCTGTGTAAATTTTTGTTCAAACACTTAGTGTAGAATAAATTTAAATTAAAAAAAAAGGATTTTTAATAAATCTTATTCCAATTGGTTAAATCTTTAAAAACTATGGAGAGAGTTGTCTTATTTGGCATAGATAAGGAATAAATGTATTTATTAACCAAAGATGGCCTAACTGAAAACATATATTTTTACAAAAATGATTTACAAAAAGGTACCATTTTGTCCAAATCAAGGCAATCAGCTTCCTAAATTGAAACATTTTGATTCCTTAACCGGTACAGGTTGTTTTTTTTAAAATAGGAAAACTCAGTAAAATCAACAAAAATTGTTTAAAAATTATTTTTATCTTTTTCATTTTTTTTCATTCAAAATTTATAATAAGATTAATACTACACTGGCAAACTGAAATTTTAAGAACAAAAAATTGTATAAAGCTATTATGACGTTCTTTTATTCTATTAATTAAAAAAGCAATAAGTTATGTACTATTTTTGAGGTTTATGGTTGTTACTAAGTATTTTTAAATTAGGACTGAAATATTTCTTCAAGCCTTTGATTTTATCTTTGATTAAGTACTTTATAGCTTCAATCAAGGAAACTTTGAACTATTTTGTTACATCACTGCTATGTCACACGCTTGCAGCAACTTATAAGCTAAGTTTATGTTGTTATTTGCACCCCATCACATTAAACACAAAAAATGTATAACCTATAGCAGTATAGTTTACCGAGTACATTTAAAAGAGTGTGAAAATAAAAATTAGATTAATGAAATAAAATTGCTCAAAAAAGTTTTAAATCAAATGATGCACATACATTTTTTGAGGGATAACTTTCAAAATCTGTCGAAAATATACCTTTTTTTCCAAGATAAATGCAAGTGTTCCAATCAAAGCACTGTTCCAACTTAGACAACATTCCCCTATCAAGCAATTAATACAATTGATCGTCTAAGAATGTTAAATCCTTTTGTACAGCAGAAGAATTGAATTTTTTGCACCACAACTAGTTCTTAAAATCTTTTGTACCGATATCAAACAATTGTAATCATAGTTAGACTTGCTCTTGCAGCCAACCTCTAACCATTATCATATTGTAGTAATGTTGCTTCTCTTTCTCTTTTCTACAAATACTATAAAGGACACTGCTCTAAATAGCTAGCCTCTCTTGTGCCATCTACTAAAATTCATTCTCGTGTTACTTGTCATCCAATTAAGTCTCATCCTTTTTTTGTGACTATTCCTAAGTGTTCCAAAAACTCTTATTCCTCTAGTTTTTTTCCTCGAACATCAGTACTTTGGAATTCGATTCCTTCATCTTGCTTTCCTGATTCATAAAATTTGCGATCCTTTAAGTCACTTATCAATCCTTATCTTACTCGACAATCTTTATCTTTTCTTTTTCAGCAACTTCCTACTCTAATTAGAGGTTGCTCTCAGCTTTGTTGGAAGCGAAGATGTTGAAAGAAAAAAAAAAAAGTCAAATAACTGCTCTATTATATTGTAAAAGTCAACTTTTAATTGTAAAAAATTTCTATAATATGGTTATAAGAAATTTCTGTTTTGATCCAAAAGTTTTTACTGTTGAACTTTTATTTTTACCATTTTTTAAGATTTAAAAATTTTCTACTATTCTTTTCTCAGAAATCAAATAATTACTAAAACTTGCCGACTTCCAAACATTTATAATTTGTCAGAGTATGCATCATAACATCCTCTCTTGCTCAAGAGCATTAAAAGTTTAATTTATAACTCGAATTTTTTTATCTGTAGCTGAAGATTACTATATATTATGTATAATATAGTTTTTTTTTAATTATTTTACAGTTATTTAAACTTGAATATTTACTAAAAAATATTTTTCAATCAGTTTATGTAGCAGTTAAAGTGTTGGTAAGAGCAGTTTTAAAAGTTTAAAAATACTAACACAAAAAATAAAAATATAAAAAAGTTTAAAAATAACTCAAAAATAAAACAAATATATGATTGTATATTGGGTAAATATTTAGCTTTTTTTTTTATTCTAGTATATGTAGCTTTTACCTAGCATATAACCAAATTTATTGATTTTTATTTTAATTTTTTTTCTGACCATATAGAAAAGAATTTAAATCTTTAAACTTAATAACTGTCACACCAAAAACTTATTTATATATTTGTTTCTTTTATCTTTTTTATTTAACAATTTTAAAATTTAAATTACCACTATGCAATTCCCTTCGAAGTTTGTCTGCATCTTCTTGTAACACACCTTTTTGTGTATTCAAAACTGCAACATACATTTCAAGATCAACTCGAGCTGATCGTTCTGCATCCAAGTACTTCTTTGTGTCGTTCAGCTTTTCTTTGAAATTTTCATCTTCTATATTCTATTGTAATAAAAAATTATAATAAATTTAAATTATATTTATAGTTTTTATTTTAATTGATCACTATATCAGAAAAATTAGATAAACACAGATAAACATAGATAAAAAACAAGAGCTCTTTTGAAAAATTAAAAACAAAATTCATTATCAATCTGATAATATCTATATCTTTGCCTTCCTCCTCTTGAATATAGCCTGTACAGTTTTCTGCAACTAAAATATTTAATACTTTTATGCTTCAACAAATCTGATGAATCTTGAACAATGATGAATGAATAAAAGACAGTAGAATCTTCTATATAACAAGAATGTGTAACCTATGCAAATAAATGTTTCTTAGAGGAGAAAGTTTCAAGCTTTATATTGGTCTATGGGTTTATGAATTCATTATTTATCCGACTGTTTGATGACAAGGTGAAAACATGCTAAAATGCTATATTATAACAGTCATTTATTTCCCTATTTTTAAACTTCAGGGATGTGAGCATTTGAAAACTTCAGAGATATATACAAGCATTTGAAAATGCCTAAATGATATACTAGTTTAAAATTAATACAGAATTAAATTTAACTTTAAAACAATGACTTTTTCAAAAAATTTATTTTAGAATATATTAACACTATCTATCTCTATTATACCTAAAAAAATAAAACCAAAGTATAATAGAGACTAAGCACTAAGTATGAAATAAGCTATTAAGTTAGTATGAGAAAAAAAGATGGTACCTTTTTGAAAATCATGTTTGTAAATCATAAATGTTTTCAGTTAGGCCATCTTTGTTAATAAACATTTGTTCTTTAAGTATTCCAAGTAAGACAACTCTCTCCATAGTTTTCAAAGATTTAACCAATTGAAATAAGATTTATTAAAAATCTTTTCATTTTTTTTTTTTTTTTGCCAACAAATGTACCAAAAGAAACATTGAAAAAATAAAAATAATTTTGGTGCAAACAAAGGTGAAGGTGGAAAAAGTTGATAACAATGAAGTTGGTGCAAACAAAGGTGAAGGTGGAAAAAGTTGATAACAATGAAGTTATAATTTTAACTGTGGTTTAATATTGTCAGGGTTGTGGTTTTTATAATCTTTTGTGGTCTGTGTTTATAATCTGCACATTAATGAAGATCTCCTTTTAAAGTGGAATTCCTGGGAAAGAATAAATAACTTCTTTTAAGAACTGTCATTTTAATAAACTGTGGTTTCATAAACCTGTAACTACATTTCTGTAATTATTTACACTGTTAAGAGTTTAACATAAGTAGATGAAAATTTTTTTACTAATCTATCAGATAAAATAATCATAACATTGTAAGTAATGTAGTATTAAGTACAATTTTGAAGAGACTGGTATTGTACTTGAATTTCTGCTTTCTACTTTAAATTAATTTTTTTTATAGGTTTTTTCTTTTGTATTTTTAACCATGTATATAAACTAAATAGTTTTTTTTGTTTATTAAAGTGCTGGAAATGGTTCAAAACTAAAATAAATTAAAATGATAAATAATTTTGGTTCAAAATTATACAAAAATAAATACATACTTCATTTAAGCTCAAGGAGTACTTTATACCATTAATCAAAAACTAATACCAAAGCTAATAACCAACCTAATACACAAGCTACAATTGCTAATAACCAACTAAATGTGATCTAAATTTTTTTTTGTGGCGGGCAAAAGTAAAGTAAAAGTAAATATAAAAAAAAAATGAAAATTACAAATCAACTATTTTACGATTACCCAATTGTTAATAACATACTACTTGCCTCCCACCTAACTGCTTACAAGTATTATAATCGTAGATATGTTTTTTTTTTTTTGGACCATTAAAGAATGAGTAAAGACAAATTTTAATAAGATTTGCAAAAGGAACACAAGAATATTGATTAAATTAGATTTCACAGAAATATTAAACCAATCATGTCAAAGACTCTCTCTACCAGTTCTGGATGTTTTCATTAAATTGTAACCTAATATAATTTACATCAAGACAAATTGATTAAGACAAAAATCATTTGTTTTAATGTATATGCAGTTTCAGTAGCAATAATAGAAAAAAGAATTTTTTGTGTTGTTTCAAATAGCACCGCTTCACTCTGTCGCCTTTCTCTTTGTTCTATATCGCTTTCCTTTATTTCAAGACTGCACTCTTGTTGATATTATTTCTGATCCAATTGACCGAGCTCTTTATCTTTAACCTTGCTTATCACACTGAATGGCTTGGTTCCGGTGTCAATGACTCTGCAATATGTATAAGGGCAAAATCTGTTATTCCTCCTCTCTTGCATAGTTCAGATTTTGTTATCTCACCTAAAGATAAAGCTGAACTGTTTGCTAAGAACTTTTCATCTATCTCATCTCTTGATTCTGCTAATCACATCATACCTGATATAACCGAAAAACAGGTTGATCCATAGCTATACATTCGTAATACTCAAGCTTCTGTATCCAAAGTGATTTTTTGCTTAGACTTTTCTACAGCCTGTGGTTTGGACAACATACCTGTTATAGTCTTGCCGAAGTATTTTATGGACCTGTCGCCTATACATTCAAAACTATTTAATAAGCACTTATCAGAGTTTTGTTTTCCAGCCTGCTGGAAAGCTGCATCTATCATCCCTATTTCAAAAAATTCTGGAGAGCAATATGATTCATATAACTATCGTTTCATTAGTCTTAAATAACAAACACTCTTGATTATCTTGAATCTAATTTCTGATGATGAATTTCAATCTTCTTGTTCTACTGATTTGTTAACAGTAATAACTGATAGGTTTTATTGTACATAAGATAGAGGTGGAGATGTTAAGGCTACTCTCAAAATTTCTTAAGCTTTTGATAACATTTGGCATGCTGGTCTTCCCCATAAGCTCTCTTCTTACAGTGTATCAGATAACATCTTTAAGATTATCAAATCCTTCCTCACAACTGAGGTGGCATTGTTTGCTAATGATACTGTCATTGATAAAAGACCAACACTCTCTTATTGCTTGGAGGGGGCTTGAAAAAGATTTAAAAAGTGAGATCTTTTTCAGAAGTGAGATCTTTTTTCTGGGGCTCTCAGTGGCTGGTGATCTTTAACTCAGATAAAACTCAACTTTTTTCAGCTAATTGTTATTGTAATAATCTAGATCTTTCTATATCTATGAATGGTAGTGTACTCGATGAGTTATTTACTCTTTATTATCAGTATTAACTTTTACTTTCGATCTTTCTTGGAAACCATATATCAAATCTATTGCAAAATTAAAATCTGCTAGGGTTGCAACTCTCTACCGTGCTCGCCACTTTCTTAGTCCAGATTTTATTCTTTAAATTTATAAATCTCAAACACATCCTTGTATGGAATACTGTTGCCATATTTGAAGCAGATATTGGAATGATGTCCTTTCTCTTTTAGACAATGTGCAAAAATGCATTACAAACATAGTTGGACCTGCTCTTGCAGCCAATCTTGAACCATTGTCACATCATCATAATGTTGCTTCCCTTTCTTTTTTCTACAAATACTATAATGAACACTGCTCTAAAGAGCTAGTGTCTCTTGTGTCATCTACTAAAATTCATTTTTGTGTTACTCATTGTTCAATTTACATCTTTTTACTATGACTGTTCCTAAGTGCTCCAAAAAGTTTTATTTATCTAGTTTTTAAATTTTAAAATCAATTCTTTGCAATTTGTTATAAATTGTTTTCCAGAATTATATAATTTCCAACCTTTTAAGTCGTCTGTTAATCATTATCTTGCTTTATAAAAATTAACTTCTTTCTACCAGAAACTTCGAACTCTAATAGTGGTTGCTTGCAGGAGTATTTAAAGTAAAGATGTTTGAAAAAATAATAATAATAAAAACAAAAACAAAAAAGAATAAGAGTACAAGAAAAATGAACTCCCAACAAATGAGAAAGTCAAACGACAGCTATTTGAAGAAAAAACACGCTGTAACTTTATGTAAACTTTTAGTAAAATACAATTCTGATCCAAAGCTCTTTAACTTTGTTGTAATGTATATCTTTTTTTTAAAATCAAAATTATAATCTTTAAAAAATATTTAATTAACAAATTCTCAAGAAAAATAAAATTATACATTTCTATCGGGACAATTTCTGTTATCTTCTTTTAATTCTTTCAACTGTTTCTTTAACAATGCATTTTCCTTAAAAAAAAAACATAAATAAAAAAAGCATGTAAACATAAATATATTGTTACATAAAATTTTTTTCACAAGATTAAAAAAAAAGTTAAATTATTTAACAACCTCTTCTAATGGACCAACAACAGATTTCCATGCATCGATATCTGCTTGGGCCTTGAAATAAATAACAATTAGTCATCTTAACAGAATCACAATTAACAGTAATTGTTATCTTAAGAAGATTGTGATTTTAATTTTAATAAAAACCTGATTGTGATTGAAAAAAGTAACCTGGTATTGTTTGATTTCCAGTGAACTGGATTTGGTTTCCAAAGACTTTCTAGAAAAAGCATTTGACATTAATGAAATCAAGCCATCTTTATTAGAATCATCTTGGTAATCACCTTTCAATTCTTTCAATCGCTGCTCCAGCTTATTATTTACTTGAATCAATTTATTTTTATCATCTTCAAACTGTTTTGTAATTAAATTTATTCTTTCTTGAGAGCTAACTATGATTAACAATTAAAAAGTAAACATTATTATTGAAATTTATATTTAAAAAAATTAAATATTCTTTTTACCTTCCCAAAGATGCTGAAGCGATGATAACTGCTCTTTGTGTTGTTTTTTCAAAGCAGTCAAATCTTCATTATATGATTCTAAGGAAAGTCTAGCAGCAGTCTGGATTCCTTCATTTTCTGTTTTATATATTTCTAACTGCTTTGTAAGTTCTGATATTTTCTGTTCATGTTGCTTTGTTATATCTTTTTGGTCTTTTAGTTTATCTATATTAAAAAAACTTTTTTCGTGTATCATTTTTTTGTATTTTTTTTGTTTTGTTTATATTATTAAAAGGAACAAAAACTGTTAAAAAATTATTAAAATAAGCTTAAATAATACGAGACTGAAAAAAAAAGTGAATAAAAAATAAAATTTATTTATGAATAACAAAGAAAACTTTTATAAAATTCAGGAAATAACTTATCCAAAAAAACAACTTATCTAGAAAAAAACAAGTGTGTTATCTCATAAGACTTATCTTGACCATTTTACAATTGGAAAAAGTGCAATTGTTAAAAAAAAATTCACTAAAAAATCAGACCATAAATCTGTGATAAAGAATATTGGTAAGCTCATACTTTACAAATAATCATTTTATGTAGTTTTGTAATAAAATTAGCAATCCTGTATCAGATTATTAATAAATTTAGTAAATCTATGTGCAATCGTTGTGCACATTTACATTGCACATTACATGTGCACAATTACATTGACTAAAGGTTTAAATTAAATCACAGATTCAAATTTAAATACTTCTATCTTACATCAAGCATATAAACTTACATTTGTACAAACTTTAATCTTACATCAAGCATACAAACTTACATTTGTACAAACTTCAATCTTACATCAAGCATACAAACTTACAACCGATTAAATTTATTTGTACTTTATAACAATCTACTGAACTAATTTTAATTTACAACAATTAATTGGACTTTACTTTCTATAACAACCACTCAGATTTATTTATAATTTATTATTACCACATCAGCTTTATTGATGCCCACACAGAACTTTTTTAATTATATTTTTTGACAACTTATATTAGAAGATTTAGGTGTTTATAGTTTGTTTTTTTTAAACTTTGCTAATATATATATATATATATATATATTATATATATATATATATATATATATATATATATATATATATACAAATAGTATTGCGTACTAAGGTAAGTAATCTGACATCATACTGAAATAGCCTGCTGCTGGGGGCTTCAGTACATACATCAACTGACAAATAGCCTGACTCGCAGTGGAGTGCTGCTACATCAACTGAGGGTTTGGGATGGGGAAGCAATCGTTTCATTCATCATTCTTCGTTTTTTCTTCTACTTTTTCGAAAAAAATGGTATAGCTTAAGGTAAGCAGAAAAAGTGAGCAAATGCTTATCAAAACACGCTTTAGTAAGTGTATATGTATATATATATATATATATATATATATATATATATATATATATATATATATATATATATATATATATATATATATATATATATATATATATATATATATGTATATATATATATATATATATATATATATATATATATATATATATATATATATATATATATATATATATATATACACTTATATATGTAGATTGCATTATATAGTCTTAATATAGCTTTGTTAATTCATTACAAACAATAACTAATAAAAGATATGTAGACAATACCCATGCTCGCTTAAATTCGAAAGCAAAACAAGAACTGTTTCTAAAAAACTTTAAATGATGTAAACTCCTCCATAAAATATACTGCTGAACTTGAAAAGGAAAGAAAACAACTTATTTATTATATATTTATTATATATTAGATATTTCTATTACAAATACAATGAACAGATTTTATGATTTTCAAGTACACTGTAAGGATTCGATAACCAATGTTCAAATAAAAGTAAACTCTAACATCAACCCATGTATAACCACTGGCGTTTTTAAAGGCTTTCTATGTAGAGCAAAACGAATCTGCTTTAAAAAATATCTCTCACAAGAATTTGATTTCCTCAATGGTACATTTTTTCAAAACGGCTATAATAAAAAGTTATCTTATTCAAATAACCAAACTATTTAGACCGCATTTCAAAAAATACTACATCTAAACAATTAGATAAACAATTTGTTAAACTAACTTGGATACTTATTATTGGCCCTAAACCCCTAATTTAAAAAACATAATATGCAATAACAAAACAAAACTACCAACTCAAATCCGGGTGTTTACGAGCCAAATGCTCATGCGAAAGTATATATATTGTTGAGACCAAGAAGAAAATCATTTCAGGAAGTGCTGAACACTAAAGAGCCTGTAAAAATCAAAAATAGTTGAGTTCAAGAGCCACATAACATTCTAGAACATGCCATGGTACTTTTGATTGGCTGAATCCTAAGACCTTGGCAGTCATTCCAGAATACAAGATAAGAAAAATTAGAGAATCCTTGGAAATAAATAAAGCAAGAGTTCAACATAAGATAGGCATTGGGTAAACTGTTCTAAATAGAGATGACGGGAATAATGTGAAAACAAAAACTTTGGACCAATTTTGACAAAAATTTAACTGACATCACTATTATATTATTTGACTGGTTTTGTTTTAGGCTTTTTAATGTCTTCTTTTTTAAACAGTTGGTTTTATATTATTTTGCAACATTTTTTTTTATTACCTAATGAAGCTGATCACAATAGGTCAGCGAAATATTGTTAATACATTATTATATCAAAATATATTTGTAAAATAGTTATACGCTGCCTTTTTTATTGAAATCGATTTATATATATATATATATATATATATATATATATATATATATATATATATATATATATATATATATATATATATATATATCAGGCCTTGCAATGAATAAGAACTGCGCGACGCATAAGCACGACGCGATTTTTGACGTCATTAAATTCTTTTTATTTGCTTTTCATATTTATCGACATTAACTGCACCAATTTATTTAATTACTTTAAATCGTTTATGTAGAAATGTTATTATTTAAAAACGTTTTGGAATGTTTCGTTTTTTAAAATGTAAAAACATTTGTTTATTTTCTCGACGTTTGTCACGTTTTGTCTATACTAAACGAATAAAAAACATTATAACTTAAATTTAAAAAAGATTATAAAATATGCTAATATTTGATTTTTTTTTCTTAAATATGTAATTTAAAGTTTTTCAAATAATTATTTTTTCTTTTTAAAAAGTCAGCGAGTAATAAACTGGAAATTTTAATATTGTACGATTAAAAACTGTGCAATAGCTAATATTTTTACAAGCGATTTTATATAATATTTATTTATTTTTATTTATTTTCATAAAGCGGTTGATAAGCACAATCACTCGTATTAATAAAAAACTTAAACGAACGTTTTGAATAGATTTTTAATGTTAACAAGGAATTTTATTTCTATTAAAATAAAATAAAATGTTAGAATAAAAATCTTATAGGTATAAAAGAAATATTTCAGCGAAAAAATTATTCTTAAAAATTATTCTTAAAAATTATTCGAAAAACTATTGACGTTCTATTTTTCAGCAGCTGTTCTTAAGCACGCTTCGATGAGTTTCGGTAACTTTTAACATAAAAGCGATCGTTATTATTTAAGTAATTTTTTTGAGTTACTTTTTACAAAAATTTTAATAACTGTACTTTTTTATTGAATCAAGTAGAATACGTTTTGATATTAATCTTTTTTTTTTTTTATTTGCCCTCACCAATTTTTAAAATGTTTCCTCGAAATCACTCTTAAATACTTTAAATACGTCTAACAGTTAATAAATATTTTTAAATCTATGGAATAATTTTAAAACCTATCAAACCCCTGTAAAATAATTATTTAAGTTTAAAATCTAAAACTAAAAGAAAGTATTTTTGTTCAATTTTATCGACAACGTTGCTATTGCTGAATAATTTTATTAAAATGTTAGCTTAAAAGATTTAAACTTTTTTTTTAATTTTTGAATTTTTTCTATTTCCAAATAATGAGCGTATTTAATTTTTTTAAATTCAAACTTTTATTTCAAAAGCGTGCGGTTTTTAAAATACTTTATTAAATGTTAAAATAATCGTAAATTACTTCATTAAAATTCCGCTCAAAAATATCTTTAAATATACTCAAACAAAAAATTTTTTGCTCGACGCAAATAGCCTTAGCTACACGCAAAATCGCCCTTGGACGACGTAAAATTCACATCGCCCGACGCTTTATCGCAAGGCCTGATATATATATATATATATATATATATATATATATATATATATATATATATATATATATATATATATATATATACAGTTGTGAGCATGAAGTACCTGGAATATTTTGAAAACTATTGCGCAATTTTTTTTTACTTATTACTGAAAAAAATTTATTGCATTTATTTTGACACTTCAATCTAATAAAACAAAAAAAAATTACATCAATAGTTTTACATTTTATTTCAGAAAAAAAAACAATAATATCAAGAAAGCTCGCAGTCATTGAAATAGCAGTGGTATCTGAAAATAGAGAAAAAATTATTTTTTATGGTATTAAACATTAAAATTGCAAACTTTTGAACATTATAAAGTTAAAAATAAGTCTAATATAACAATATTTACCCTTAGTATTTCGTTGCAAAACCTTTGTTTGAGATAACGGCTTCACAACGCCAATGCATTGAGTCAACTAGGCATTGACATTTTTCTGCTGGTATTGCGTACCATCCTTGTTGAGTAGCTTCCCATAACTGCTGAGCATTAGTTGGATTAGCAAAAGAAACTGCTTTTTTAATGTCTCCCCATAAGTTTTCAATGGGGTTTAGGTCAGGTGACTGAGCAGGCCACTCCATAACCTCAACCCCATTGACCTGAAACCACTCTTTTGCCTTGTGACTAGTGTGTTTTGGGTCGTTGTCTTGTTGAAAGACCCATTTTAACGGCATATCTTCATTAGCATAAGGCAGCATGACATTATTGAGGATATCGACATATATATGTTGGTCCATAATACCATTAATCTTATAAATAGGTCCGACACCATTATATGAGAAACAGCCCCATACCATGACTTTGGCTCCACCATGTTTTACAGACTTAATGGTATATTTTTGCTGGAATTCTGTATTAGATGGATGTCTTACATATTGTCTTGAACCTGTACCTCCATAAAGAACTATTTTTGATTCATCAGTCCATAATACGTTGCGCCACTTTTCGATGGGCCAATTCAGATGTTGGTTTGCGAACTGCAAACGTTTAGCGGTATGTTTTTTTGTCAACAAAGGAACCTTTCGTGGACTGTGTGCATACAAACTTTTCTCTCGTAAGCGTCTACCAACTGTTGTTTCACTCACCTGTAGGTCAGGATCATCTTTGACTTGCTTGGCCGATGAAAATGGTTTGCTTTTAACAAATCTAACAATTCTTCGGTCTTCTTGCGCGGTAGTCTTACGTTTCCCCCCTCGTTTTTCAACTTTTGCTATATAATTTATGGCATTTGAAATCATCTTTGCTGAACATCCGAGAATATTTTGTATATATGAGTAAGATTCACCCTCTCTATAGTGTTTCAAAATAATGTTGCGTTCTGCTGGTGTACAATGATGTCCTCGGCCCACTTTGAAAGGTTTAGAAAACAATTTTACCATTACGCATACTCAAATAAATAAAGAATATGTTATAATTGGGAATCGAACTTGTTATGAGACCGCAACAAAGAAAGTATTTTTGTGTCATAAGTGTATTTAAAGTGTTTTTTTTTTTCTTTTTTTTAAACAACAATTTGGCTTTAATATATTATCATAAACATGTCATCGTAAGCACATTTTAACACTATAAAAAAAATTACTTGAATTAAACAAAGGGGTTAGAGTTTTAAAAAAGCGAACAGTGAAAACAAGAAATTTCCATAAAGAAACTTTCTTAACATACTGAATAGCTTCAGCAAATAAAATCAGTACAAACTAAAAGTAACCAAAACGCTTTAGAAATTTAATTCACACTTCATTATTAAAAGTAATTCCATTTGTGAAAAGAATTCTTTTAAATTAAAACACTTTTCCTTACACAAAACAAAGAATAAAGTTTTTTGTTTGTTTTCACACATTTTTAATCTATGATAGAGACTTATGTTTTAATATTTTAATGTAACAAATTAGTTTGCAATTAACAAGAAAACAATTATTTCTTAAAGTAAAAAAATTGTTAAACCATTTTACATATTTAATTTCAAGGTTTTTGAATAAAACTTTAAACTAGATATAATAAAAAGTTTTAATTTAAAACATTTTCATTTTATTAACACTGTTTAGGAATTTATTATAAATTAAATATGAAAAAAAAAGTAAAAACAATTTTATTTAACAATGATTTTTTTTTTCACAAAAAAAAAAAAAAAAAAAAAAAAAAAACTGCAGTGAAAAGTTATTTCATTACATTACATTTTTTTACATTTTATATAAATAATTAAGATTTCATGTTTTTTTTTTTTTTTTTTTTAAACACCACATAAAGTAATCAAAAGGCATTTTAAATATTCCAAAAGATAAAAATATCTTATAAGTGTTTTTAATAAATGAGTTTTAACATTTTTAAAACTGCACGAGTTGAATTAAGCGATGCAATATTTGGATATTTTTCTGGTCCTCTTTTTTTTTATTTTATAAATCCTTAAACTGTAATTATCATATTTATCTTTTTATTACTTTTATTTATCACTATTCAATAAATATTTATCTATTGATTTTGAAACTAATACAAAACCTGTCAATGATAGTAGTAGAGTGCTTGCTTTATAAGCAAATAGTTTCAAGTTTGATTACCACCACATCCCTGGTAGTACTGAGCTCAACTTTTTTTTCAGTAGATAAGTTTAGCTTTTTGAGCTTTTTGAAGAAAAAATTACTTTAAACGTGGATGAACTAGGTGTGTGACCACATGCGCTTCTTGGCAAGGCTTCAAATAGTATTTTATATTATTTAAGTTATTTAAATTCATTTTTTTTTTTAATATATTTTTTTGCGGTATTTTTTGTATGCTAATAAATGATCGTAGTTTGAAAAAATTAATGTGTATAAATATGAAAATTAAATAGAATTATAATTAATGTACAAAAATATAAAAACCAAATTATGATCTTAAAAATCTTTTTAAATTGCGCATTTTATTCATAACACATTTTTTTATTCAAGGCCTGCATCATCATCGTTATCATTATCATCATCATAATTATCATGTCATCACAATTAACATCATCATCATCATCACCATTGTCATTATCATTAGTATCATTATCATCATCACAATTATCACAATTATCATCATCATTATAATCATTACTATCATCATCATTGCCATCATTATTGTCACAATCAATATCATCACATTCATCACAATCTTTATCATCATTATCATCATTGTTTTAGCTTCCTTTATTTTGTGCTTACATTCATTGGATGTTTCTAATGCTTTTCTAATTGTTTATTTACTGTTTTCACTTTATTTTACTTTATGTTTTTCTCCTAAAACTGATATCTCTCTGAATACCCAAACCACCTTAATCTTCCTTGATACACACTAACATATCATTTCTAAGATCATTGCTTATTTTCTTATTTTTTAAACACCATGCATTCATCTGATCATTATCTCATTTGTTGTTTCCAGACAATGGGAATCATCAACTTTTATTCTTCTTGTTACTATGCTATAATACATAACATTCTGGATGTATGCTCTGGATAACTACTCTTTATTGATGCACCTTTTCCTGTCAGATGATAAGATTATTCTCTGAACTGGACACAGACACATAAAAAAAAAAAAGTGAACTTTTTTAAAAGTAATAACTAATTTCGAAGGTACAAAAAGCAACCACGATATACTTGTGCGATACGCTTTATTTGAACCCTGATAATCATCATTACTCTACATAACCTAAAGTTTATTTAAAATTAAAAATAATTATTTCTAATTTTAGAAATAATTATTTCTAATTTTAGAAATAATTATTTCTAATTTTAGAAATAATTATTTCTAATTTTAGAAATAATTATTTTTAATTTTAAAAATTACTATTTCTAATTTTAGAAATGGTTAATTCTAATTTTAGAAATAATTATTTCTAACTTTATAAATTATTATTTATAAAAAAATATTATTATTATTATTATTATTATTATTATTATTATTATTATTATTATTATTATTATTATTATTATTATTATTATTATTATTATTATTATTACTGTATTATAACTAATATAGTTATAAAAAATATAATAATTATAAAATTAATAAAAAAATTTAAAAAAATTTATAATAGTTAAATAGCTAACATATTTTTAGTTTTTCGTTTCGATGCATTTTCTACCATTTGCACTTTGAAAAGCAAATTAAAATCACAATTAAAAATCTTAACATAAGAAAAATATTAACATAAAAAAAAAAAAGAAAGAATTATTTATTACTTTCACAATCCAAGTACAATTGCCGAAACTGAGCCCGTTTTTGACCAAATTCTAGTTCTGATTTTTCAATCTCAGCCAAAAGCTCTTCATATTTTTCTTTGTAATCCATATTCTTATAGCCATCTGAAATTCCTTTTATACATTTAAATTAACTGCCCAAAAAAAATCAATAAAATATACATCATTTAAAAATCATTTCATTTAAAAATCGTTACATTTAAAAATCACAAAAAACATATACAAAATCATATATTTATAAGTTTTTTTCCATTAGGATTATATAAATTTTGATATCAAATAAAATATTTAAAACAATGCTCGGAAATATTTTAATATTTTTATTGGTTTTATTTAGGACAACTTAAACAGGTTGATAAATTTTTTGCTTCTTCTTTATTATTTATAGTCAAAAAAATGTATTATTTTTGTAATAAAAAACGTGAAAAACTTTATATAAATAATATTTAAAGACTCAAATTCAACAAGATTTTTTTATTATTTTAGAATATTTGGAACTTTCCATTTATCTGCAATGTAGCTGTGAAGTAATACTTGGTAGGAATGAGGTTTCAATCTAAAGCGGACTTAAAAAAAAAGGGAATACAATTAAGCATTAAAACATGCATACCTTCATTTTTTAATTTGTAGTTTTAACATTCCTAATTCAAAAAATTCAAATAAACAAAAACAATTTACAGAAGAGCTTCATTAATAAAAAGTTGAATGTTTGTTTCATTTTAACTATTTGAAATTTTTAAAACCATGAGTTGTCTTAATAAGTAAAATTAACCACTATCACAAATTGATCATTGTTACTAATGTAACCTATATTACTGATGTAACCAATGTTACTAAGACCATTGAAAATAATAATAATAAACTTATTGAAATAAATCCATAAATATATAAGTTAAATAAATAACTATTACTGATAAATTACAACAATAATAGTCTAAAAGTTAACAGCAACTCTTTATTGTAACTTTGTTTTATTGTATCAATGCAAATAAAACAAAAAACAACATGCTTTCTATTTAAACATTGAAATTAAATAATTTTAGAGTGACCATTGTCCTGTTTTGATGTATTCAAGTGCAGAGCAAAATATAATTAAAATAAAACTTTTAATTGTATCTCCTATGCAAAACTAGGACAAAAATCATCCTATACAATTCAAAGCAATAATTAACTTTTTTTATAATAAATGATTAATATAATGATTATGTTATGATGAAACAATAATTTATTTTAAAACATAAAGCAATGCTTTGTGTGTTCTATAATGCTACAAAAAAAAATATGTATAACTGTTTATACCTCAAGGTTGAAACTTTTTTAAGTTTTAAAACTTTAAAAAACATGATTTTAAAAAAAAAATTTATACTATAAATTCGATTTTTGTAAAAAAAAAAAATCCTATCACAATGTATTAATCTTTTAATTGAAATATATGTATCTAAAACACTTTTTTTAATCATTAAAAAAATTGCATTAAATTAATGCAATAATAAGTTTCCTTAATAAATAGAAACTGTCAAAACCTCAAATAATGTATTATGTACTAAACTACTGTGGATTTAGGTCTGCATGTTACTGTAAATAAAGAATAATAAAGAGGAAATTAATACAATCAGAAAAATGGAAGAAAAAAAATAGAGAAAGTGTATAAATATTAATTGAAAAAAAAGATTCTGAAAAGTTTCTCTTTTTATTACTTGTACCAGAAAAAAATTTAAAATTTTTCCCGCAATACCAGAAATAATTTGAATTGCTAATGTTTATAATAGAATATAACAATATATATATATATATATATATATATTAGAATAGATAATATATAATTTTTTATTTAGTAATTTAATATACAAATCTAGCAGTAGTTAAGTCATCTTTTTTAATCTTTAAATGCGGAGTTTAATAATTGCTTTTCGGTTTATAAAATATTTATCGGTAACAGTTTGCTTCATAATTATAATCACAAAATTTCATTTTTTTTTTTTTTGTTTTGTTTGTATTCTTTGGATTATGAGTAAATACTATTGTTTGGATTATGGACTTTATTGTTTGGATGATGAGTAAATACGATATTGGACTCAATTGTTTGGATTATGAGTAAATACGATTAGGTTAGCAGCAAGCGCCTGTTTTCTAGCGGTACACAGTATACAGTATACGGTATGTTCTGTGGACAATATGTGGTACCATGAGGAATCGGCTAGTGACTGGTGTAACCATTCAAAAGTACCTTGATATGATTTTGGAATGTTCAGTCGCACCCGTACTAGCCTGTTTTCCGTTTATAATATGTTTCTGGTGTTCAATACATCATGATCTAACTTTCTTTATAGTTTCACCAATGTATTTACGTGCTCAATGGCTTTTGGTATCTTCAGGACACAAAAATCGCATAGTAATTGATTATTCAAACACAATCAACTTACACACGCCTCTAGATTCATACCCAACACCACATATTAACGATCTGTTATTTAAAACAGCAGGGAAAAATGTTTTTAGTATAATCGACCTCAAATCCGCATACCATTAGGTAAAAATACGACCCCGAAAGCTACAAACTAACTGCATTTGAAGCTAATGGTAGACTTGATGAGTTTTATTGATTACCTTTCGGTTGTACTAACGCGGTTCTAATTTTTCCACGTGCAATGGACGAATTTATTTAGACCAATGAAAAACATCTGTGCCTACCTCGAGATTTTGATCATTGGCGGAAAAAATAAACAAGAGCACGATATAAATCTTAAAACGGTTTCTAAATGCTGATAAAGAAGCCAGTATAAAGATAAACATGGATAAAAGTAACTTTAAAAAAACTCATAACGAAAGTTTAGGCCATGTTATCAAAAACGGAACCATGAAACCTTATCACAAAGATACAAAGCATTAATGAATATTCCAGATCCATGAACCTTACGAGAACTATATAGAATGATTGGATTATTCGCCTATTGCGCTAAATAGATTCACAACTGCATCGAGCTAACCTGTCACTTACTCAAATCAAATCAAATCAAATATATTTCGAAATAAGTTATAACATTTTAAGGAAATTTACAATAGTATAAGTACTAATATTAAGTAAATACCTGAATGAACGTAACGTTATAGTCAACGATGAAAGTAATAATAATAACTGATATTAATAATAACAATAATAGCAATAATGATAATAGCGCTAATAACAATGATACCAATGATTGTGATAAAAACAATAACACCAACAATAATAATAATAATAATAATAATAATAGTAACGAAATGATAACAATTATAATAAGAGGAGAATTTCATAAATAAAGACAATAACAGCAGCAACAAAAATTTAGTAAATAGTGATAAGAACAACAAAAATTTAGTACAAAGTAGATTAGTTGAGAAATAGAGAATAGTTGAATGAAAAGAGATAAATAGATATATAAATAAAGAATGCTAAAATATTGGTACTAATATTAATAATATTAGAATGGATAATTTAATAAAAAAGTTTAAAAATGGCAAACTAGAAGAATTAGATGTGGATAGATAAGTAGAGAATTTCAAAATGTTAAAAACATCAAATTAAAAACGGAAGGATTACGAATTCATATATATAGTAAAGAATGTCAGTTTTTTTTTTTTAATGTAAGGTTTTTGTGATGATAATTGCAGACAAATTGGCAGTTAAGGAATACCACAAAATCGCTTATCTTTAATATATTGGAGATTAGGTATAGCACTTTAGATTTAGAGTTATAATACTGAAAATATATTATTTTTAAGGCTTTATTTTGGAAATAGGACAACCTTAAAATGATTTGTTTATGGGATTGTCCCCATTCTTGACATGCATATCTTAGATGGGACCCAAAAATAGCATAATATATATTTAGCAGAGTTTCTAAATTTACATAATGGCGGACTTTGGCTAGCATTCCATTAGATTTGCTGAGTTTCACGGCTAAGTCATTCGGATGGCCTTGAAAAGAAAGATTAAAATCAATTTTAATCGCAAGATACTTAATAGAGTCTAAAGGATAAACTTTTTGTCCAACTTAGTCTCAAATTTAAGTGCTTATTAATTGGTGCCAGATTGAATTTAAAGATGATAAGCTATTTTTTATTAGAATTGATTATAAATAAAAGATCATGATTAATATATTAATCATGATCTTGGAAATCTTGTTCAGTGGCTTTGTTCTGATAAACGTTCTCTTAATTCTAATAAGAAAGAGCTTATCATCTTTAAATATATGTATTTTTTGATTTTTTTAAGTGATCTGTCAACCAGTAGCATGTTAGTATTATCAGCAAAATGGTAAGCAGTTGCAAATTTAAAACAAGTATTCAAGTCATTAATAAAAAGAAGAAATAGAAGTGGTCCTAAAACTAAACCTTGTGGAACCCCATTCGAGCAATTCTGTAAATCAAATTTAGTGCTATTAATGGAAACAAACTGTGTTCTGTTTTTGAGATATGAAGTAAACCATTTTAGTGGGATGTCTCTGATTCCATAGTATTCTAATATTGTGAAAAGGATGCAGCGATCCACAGTATTAAAAGCTTTTTGCAAATGTACTAACACCCTACATGCAAAGTGTTTATTATCTAGAGTTCTTCTAATCTTCTCAGTAATTTCAATAAGTGCGGGGTTTGTAGAATGTTTGCTTCGAAATCCATATTGATGTTGGTATAAGCATTTAAATTTTTCTAGAAACTTGTATAGCCTGTTATGCATTGCCTTCTCAAAAAGTTTGCTTAGGTTGAAAAGAAGGTAAATGGGTTGATAGTTAAAAAAGTCTAGTTAAGAGCCTGCTTTATAAATCGGAATGACTTGAGCTACTTTAAAAACTTCAGGGTGTTTGCCATTTTTAAAAGAATTATTTATCATAATGCTAAGAGGTTTGGAGATTATGTGAGAGATAAGTTTATGAAAAAATGTAGGTATGCTGTTAGTTATATAACTTTTATAATTTTTAAAAGTATTACTAATAAGACTAGATACCTCATCTTCACTAACACAATCAATAAAGAAAGAGTTAGCATTAGGAAAATTAAGAAAGTCACTATCAGGGCACATTGATCTAGAGCCCTATTAAACAATTTTAAAAATTGGTTGATGGATTCATAAATATTGCCATCTTTTTTAATCATC